CTTAAACACTTATATCACCAAAACCCAAAACTCCAGTCAAGATATAGGGGTGCTTTTTGACAGAAAAAATAGGAAGAATTAGTAAAATCATAATGTCATGGCTTAGCCAGCAAAAACAAGGTATTAAAAAAAAAGTTGTACTTTGTCTTCTCTAAATGTTCTACAATCTAGCACTTTAAACAATGAGCTGAAACAAACAAAAGCAATATGCTCATACACTGAAAAACTACTACCCTGGTTTTGTTATTTCGACTTTCTAAAAATACTACCAAGTAAAAATTGCTAAGCTTCTTTGGACTTTGGTAATAAGGAGATTTAATGAAATGCATACCTAATGCAAGAAAATGTTTAGGTTTCCTTAAGCCAAAAAAGAGAGCAAAAATCCCATCATTCCACCCTGCCCCTATATTCTTTTATGGTGATTAAACATACTATTTGGCTTCATAAAATAGTCCTTTGGACAATAAAATAAAATTTTTTTCAACCATGTTATGTATACATATATATTACGTATACTGAAGTTTTAGTTATTTTTAAAGTTACATATTTGGTTTTCTTTACCTTTATTAATTTTTCTTCATTTTTACTTCTTGCATGAAGCAGCTCGACGTTCGGTTCTTTTTCTAGTAACAAGCACTTTGGCACTTGCCTTGTCTCAAATTTTTTTCTTTTACTGACGGTCTCTACATCAGAATCTTCAATCACTTCTGATATATTCTTTTGTGTGAGTCCCAATAATGGCTTGTTTTCCAGAGACAATTTTCTAAGACAGGGCTTTTTTCTACTAACAAAAAATGCCGCTCCACCCTGAAGTGTAACTTGCGGTTTGACTTTTTGGCTTAGAACCCGAGGAGCATTCAGATTATTTTGAGCTGAATAATAACTATTCTCTTTCTCTATAATTGGCTTATAGGCCACTCGATTTTGCTTGGAATTTTTAGAATTCTTTGATAGAGGCTTGATGCATTTATATTTTGGTTGACACTTAGAAGTTAAACTCTTTTGTGGTTTTTTATTCAATCTCTTGGAGCAGACTGGTTTTCCCTGCATTTCTTCTGTCACAACGGGAAAAGATTTGTCTTCATTATTAGTTTTTAGGCAAATGGATCTACTCTCTTTTATCAGCTTTCTTTCTAATGGGTTGAGGTACCACTTGTCTTTGTTGTAAAAGGATACAGTAGACACAGCAGATTTAAATGGCGAACCTTGATTTGCAGGTGGAAATTTGGTTTTTTTAGTTGTTTCGAGTGGACTTGAAAGGAAATGGCCTTGTTGAGAGCAATGTGCCTTTTCTTCACTGTTATCACTCCTTTGGCAAATGTAATTTTGATCAGGTGATGGAAGTATATTCTCAGCAAAGTCCAGAATTAATTTCTTTGATGGAATGTCTGATAATAGGCTATGAAAAGAAACAAAGTCCATTTTTAAGTATCATCTTGCTTCAATTTTATGGCAATCTACTGCTAAGTAATAAACAACCATATTTGTATGTCATACTAAAAATAATACATCTTCTCTACCAAACATCCCATCCATACACATTATCTATTAAACAGGGTTATCAAATTGTGTCTTTACCAAAGCATTAAAATATTTTTCAAAAGTAAACTCCCAATAATGCTTGCAAAAACAAACACTGTTAATAAAAAAGCTTTTATATTGTGGCACGCCCTTGCTTTAAAACCTATTTCTAAGTTTTGGCCATATATTCAGAGCTCACCAGGCTTAACTGGCTACAAGTTCCCTAAAATTATTAATTCTATGTAATAAACTGACCCTCTCAAGCCTGTTCTGTGCAGAGTAATTTATCTCCTATTATGACATGTAGTAAGCAGTGAGTAAACAGACTTTCTAGGATTGTTCACAGAAAAGTACTGAATGAAAACCACTATGTTAATTATTATAAGAGAACAGAGAGGAGGAAGGTAATAAAAGATTTAACATACATTTCCAAGTCAGAGAAAACAGCTCTTCCTGATTCTCTCCAAAGGCACTGAATAATTAATTTTGAAAGTTTACAGTATTTCCAGATTCGAATTGGAATTTAAAATGTTGCTATAGCCACAAGTAGACAAGTGGAATAATGGAGATTTTAAGAAAAAGAAAGGAAATATAAGAAAGACAAAAAGGTGGATTTTACTTTTTTAGGAGTTTCTAACCACGGGATGAGACTCACTTCTCATAGTTTGAAGAATGCTGCTTCCTTTTTCTTGGAGTAAAAGCTGACATCTTCTTAACTGAACTCCTAAAAGCAACAGAAAAATTATAACAACCAAATTAAATCAATATGTATAAAAGTCACTGTATCAAAATTATACTTTTAGAGTCTGAAAAAGTTTTTCTGATGGATGAGGTACTTTAAAAAGAAAATAACTTTAATAAATATTTAAACCGTGAAGGTTTAAAAAAAAAAAAAAAGGAAAACACTGGCTCACAGTAGCATTTAAGAAATAAAAGTAGAATTAGTACATCTGTTTCAAGCTGAAAATGATCCCACCAAGGAAGAAGTTTTATTTGTTTGTTTTGTTTTTTTTAAATTCCATTTCAGGGCACATTTTCCCCTTTAGTTAGCCTGATTAATTAACACCAAGTTTAAATACTTTACCGGGATATCTTCCTGTGATTTCCCTCACCAGACCCCACACTTCCTTAATACGACATTTAACACATTTTCTTGGTGGTTTAACTGTCTTCCTCAACAGCCCAAATGCTCAGTGAAGGCAGAGACCGTTTCTAGCTTTTTCTTCAGAGTTCATGCAAGAAAATGGGTTTAGCATAATCCTCTCCCATCTTCCTGAGGAGCCTAGAGCAAGCCGCTTGTTCCTTGTTTATAAAAGACTAGGAGCTCCTCCCGCTGCTGAAAATAAACACAATCCTGCACATTAATTCTCGAGCATGAGAGAGCCTGGTTATGTTGCTCAGTAGTTTCTCCTCCTTCCTTTGGATTAGGTACATTAAAAAAAAAAAAAAAAGTAAAACACAGGCAGGATTTCAAGGTTAAAGAGAAAACAGGGGTCTCTGGAACTCAGAGGTCGAGCCCCTGCTTAAGAGAGGACTCTTCTGGAGAGGAATGAAGAAAGGTATGACAGAAAAGCGCGCCTGTCCTCAAACCCTGTCAAGGCAAAAAGACAAGAAAACCCTAAGTCAGAAAAATGGAAACCCGGTGACCTCAAAGTGCGGAGAACCCCCGAGAGGTTTCGGTCTCGAACCGCCGCGGCGCCAAGCCCTCAGCTAAAGCCCTTTTTCCCTGACATTCACCCGCACGTTCCACAGAATCTCCAGTTCTCCTCAGTCTTCCGCCCCGCGCCTCCGCCCCCGCAGCCCTCACCTGAGGTTGGAAGCCGGGAATCTCTCTCCCGTGGAGCCCGTTTCTCCTCCACTGTATTCAAATTACCGCGCGCCCGTGAAGGCTGAAGCCGCTGCGTTTTGATTCGCCGCTTTTCAGACCCTCCAAGGGCTGGCTCGGTGATTGGTCGCTCATTAGCCGTTGCCCCGCCTATCCGGGAGGGGGGTCTCCAAGATTCTCCCGCCCTTGGCAGGTGAACCGCTCTCTTCAGGCAAGGAATCCACACCTTCCATAATCCCTTGCGGGAGCGCCGGACTCCGTTCCCTAGGTCTGGTTTAGATGCATTCTGGGGATTGTAGTTTTCGGCGGATAAAGTCACCCTCTTGAGGTCGAGGCACCTTCTGGGGTTACTGGTTTAGCATGTTTTTGTAAAGTAGCCTCCCCAAGATTCTCGAGGCAGTTATCTTTTACGTTCGAAGCTTTGTTCATTAACTATTTTTATTAGTAATATGTTAGATTTCTAGTTCATTTTTTTATTTTTCAACCTAAGTAAAAAAAAAATAATAAATCTTGGCTCTAAACATCTGTGACGTGCCGGGCAGTCTCACACCCTTTACGAGTTTTATTTCATTTACTTCTCGTCACAACCTGTGAGATATGTATTATCATTCCCATTTTACTGAAACTAAAACTGAGGGCCCGAAAACAATTACTATTTATAGGATATAGCTAGGTTCTTGCTTTGGGAAGCCCTGTGGTTCTTAAAGTACTCATGGGCTGTGAGCTACTGTTACTATCTTTGTGTCACCAGATCCTGGTAGAGTCTTTGGCACATTTTTAGTTCTAAATAAATTTGGTTGAAGAATGCACTTTTCTTCATAGAACGTAGTCTGTCGGAGTGAAGAGAAACCATCAGGTCAAAACTAGGGGAGCTTTACATAAGTAATATTATTCCCACGTGACAAAAGCAGTTATATTTCTAAGGTTCATTGGTTTGGAATTTGCCCTATCACACAGGTAATGGATGGCCCATCATAGAGTTTACAGCAGAACAGTCCTGAGTCCAAACCCCAAGAAGTATATGCCTCTGGGAATATCATTAACAAATCAGTTTAGTCAACCGTTCACTATGTTCTAAACCATGTACAACCATTTACACCTGTTAACTTACTTCACCTTGGAAAAATAACCTATGAATTAGTTGCTGTATTCATCTTCATTTTGCAGATCAGGTGAGTGAAGCACAGAATGTGGCCAACAAACGCCTTGTAAGTGGCGGAGCTAGAATATGAATAGTGGAAGCATCTGGGTTCATTTCAAAATAAAAAGTTTCTACTACGTGCCAGCTACTGTGATTGGCGCAGGGAAGACTGTGAAGGAGGCAGTGGTTTCAGCTGTCCCGGAGCCCATCAGGGGGTGATGGGTAGCAGTGAACAACCAACAGATAAGCCTCAAGACCGCTCACTTGGTGGTGACTCTAAAAGCAACGTCGGCCAAAGGCATTTTTTCTTTTAAGAGGATAGAATTTCCTCGCTGCGTTTTCCAACTACGAATTGTCCTAGCTCCATCTACTTTCCTTCTTCAACCCCCAAACCAGTGAACGTTATTAGCCCGCCCGCACCCTTCCCCCACTCACCCACTCGCCAGGATTAAAGATGGCGCCAACGGCTGGCGTTATGACGCGACCCGACGTCCGCCGGAAGTGCGCGAGGAGTTCCGGGGAACAGGAGGCCTCCTCTCTCTGGTATCCTGAGCTAGCGAGTTGAGTGCCGCTGTTGCGCGCTGGAGTCCCCGCGCCGCCGCCGAGATCATGGTGTTCTACTTTACCAGCAACAGCGGTGAGTGGGCGCCGTGATCTCCTCCGTCCCTGCTCTACAGCGCGGCTCCGAAGCCGGGACCCCCGGCTGTTCAGCCTGAACTTCATCTTAAAGCTGCTCCTCCTCGGCAGTGGGGGCTTCTTCCTGCGCCCTTTCGGTCCCCACTTTGTGTCCGTCCCTGTCGTCCCCCTGTGCCCCTTGTCTGGGTCTGGGGGAGTGTAGATGGACCATCACTCCTGCTGTCTTTGCATCCGGGAGTTCTTTTTTCTCGGGAAGACCTCCCTTCGCTATCTGGAATTGGGCAGAGTTTATGGGCTTCTTCACACCCCCGTCGCAGGTCTCACCTCCACCTGCTTGACATTTATTCTGACTGCGTCCTGGTAATTACCCACTTGGAGAGAGAAGGGGCTTACCTGCCAACCACACTGCCTTCCAGGAAGTGCGCCTTACCCTTCTAGGATATTGTTGTAGGTCCTGGAATGCAACAGAAAACAGTAAAAAACAAAACAAGCAAAAACAAACAAACAAAAAACCGTGGAGTGGCGGTACAGCCACTCACTGGCTAGAGTTGATGTCCCAGATCTCAAAATTTGACACATGATAGTGTTTCTGATTTGTCTTTGGCAGCTAAGGAAAGGGTGCTTTTAGTTCCCAGGAAATGCTGTCTTGACCTCGTTTTTTGTGCTTATGTTGTTCCTTTTGCCTGATCAATCTCATTAACTCCCCTAAGACAGCTCTGGCCCATCTTTTACAAATGCCTCTCCCAACCTAACCCAGAGATTGCTTAGCTAAACCTCTTTGGGGAACCTCCTTAACACCCCCTGTGTATCTTTGGTATTAGATGCTGTCTGCTTAATCTAGAGTGTAAGCTTCTTGAGGACAGGGGCAGTCTAGTGCCTGGCTTATAGTAGTTAATAAATGCTTATTGAACAAAGGTATTTTTTGACCTAGTCACAGCACATACTATTCTGTTGTTACTCTCTCTGCTTGCTTGTTATACGTGAGACTGAAGCAAAACCAGCCTCATGTTGTTGAATAAGGTGATACTTTCTCTAAAGATGAGAACATTAAGGCCCAGGGAATTTGCTCACAGACTGCCCCCATCCTCGTTCCATAGCACTGTCCCATCTCATTTTTTTCAGTAGTCTAGACTTGACAGTGTGCCATAAGCCATTTGTTTGCCTTTATATAGTTGTTTTGTCTTACCCATATTATTAAAATTATCAGAAACAATTCACACTAGCTGGACAAGCTGTTAAAGGCCTCTAATAGTATCCTCCCTTTTTTTTGTTTGCTAACTTTGTCCTAACTCCAATCTCTTTTTAGCTTCTCCACTCATGAGAGTTCCCAACAATATAGGTATCCAAAGAAGAAGCCCAACAATGAAATAAAAAATATAGGCGGGCTTTATAGGTACTACATGTATTTTATGTTAGCTGCTTTATTCTCCTTAAAGCCATTCAAAATTCTTTGAGCACTATTTGTACTTACACAGATGCCCATAATAGAGCAGTGTTTTAGCAAATTATGGGTCGTGTTTTCCTCATTGGCTTCCATTATAAGGTCAGAACTGCTTCCCGTTGGAAAAATATTTGGCCTTTAAGTCTAACAAAAATGCACTTGGGCAGCAAATCTTTTAAAATTGCAAAGGGGCGCCTGGATGGTTCAGTTGGTTAAGCGGCTGCCTTCAGCTTGGGTCATGATCCCGGGGTCCTGCTTCTTCCTCTCCCTCTACCCATCTTCGTCCTCCAGGCTCTCTGTTGTTCTCTTGCTCTCCAATAAATAAAGAAAATTTTAAAAAATAAAATTGCAAAGTTAATGGAAAAATTATAACTTTGTCAGTAAAATAGTAATAGAACTTTAACATATCCTTTTAGAGAAATCGACTTGAACATACAGATTCTAGGAAAGTACTTGCCAAGCTTTTCAGACAACTTAGGGTTTACTGTATAAAAACTTTTTTTTTTAAATGGGGAGAAAATCTCAATACAAAGTTACTGCTTTTCCTTTTAAAATTAGTATCTGACTAAAATCTGTTTGACTTAATTCGTGTTTCATGCTCTGTCATAATGGAATAATGAAACATTAGCCTTACTGTATTTCCACTGTCAAATTCAAGACCATCTGATTTATGGACCCACACAGTATCTGCACTTGGCTCATAAGTCCATCTGTACTTCTGGTACCTTTTGATTGCATCTGTAAATAATGAAATTATTTCAGAGCCTCTAAAGTTGGATTGGTTGCTACACCTGAATCCTCTACCTTTAAGATGACTATATTCCATACTAATCAACCTTATTCTTTGGGCAAGAATAACAAAAGTACTAGAATAATTCAATTTACTTTTCCTTTATCCCTCTTAACATACACGGGAACTTCCTTCAGATTTCTTCCTGAGCAGTCATTTTCCTTTTTTTTTTTTTTAATTTTCTCTTTTGACTAATTTCAGTCTTTCAGAAAAGTTACAAAAATAATAAAGGATTTCCTTTATAACCTCTTAGATCGCCCAAATTCTAACATTAGAACTTCTTTCTTTCCTTCCCTCCTTATTTTTCATCTCCCTCTCTCCACACGTGTGTGCACACATGTGCGCACACACACACACTTTTTTTTCTTGAGCCATTTTTTGGTAAGTCACATTTTACCCCTAAATACTTAAGGATTTTTTCCCCCGAAAATCAAAGATGTTCTGTTATCAAAAAGCATTCCTCGTTATCAAAATTAGGAAATTAACATTGCAGCAATACTACTAACTCATCAGCTTTTTTTGGTTTTCATTGGTGTCCTAATAATGCATTCATAACAAAGGAACATTACAGATCATTGTTGCATTTGGTTGTCATTTATTACTCTTCAGCCTGTTCTAATCTGGAGCAGTTGCTTAGTCTTTGTCTTTCATGATGCTTTTGTTGAAGAATTATTTTGTAGAATGCCTCTCAGTTTGCATTTGACTTATGTTCTTAATCACCTCATTTTTATAGGTCAACCATCCAAATAATTGTCTGTTACTCTCTTGGCTACAATTTAGGTGGCTTAGCCTGCACAAACAGCTTTATTTTAATCATTTGAAAAATTACTTTCCTTCTGATTATAAAAAACCATCTATATATTTGGTAAGCAAACTAGCCAAGGTAAGTATTGGTAACAGTTATATGTATATCTTCTCATACATATAAAGAAAATATATGCATATATTAAGCATATGGTTGTAAACCTGAATATACAACTATATATTCATTTTTTACAAAGTGAATCTTGCCATATGTATACAAAAATACTGTTATTTAATTCCTGCCTTTTGTTTTCAGTGGCTACATGGTATTTTGTTTATGTATGTTCTACCGTGTTTAACCAGTCTTAATTAATGGGTATTTAGATTGTAAAAAGAACATCATTGCTTGATAGAGTAATTATAGTATATACTTAGTGGTGACATTACAGGATCAAAGAGTGTACACATACAATAACACTGGGTTGTACAGAGACAATCTGAAATGGTTTTATTCCTGCACTTCTGGCATTTGTTATAATGGCTGTTCTGGCTATGCTAAGGTCTTACCAAGCTAATGTAATTCTCAATTATAGATGAGTATTTCTGTCAACTAGTCAATGCAAATACTCTCTCTTTTCCAGATAGTTCCCTCAACTACTTACAGGTAATTTGGGTTATGGTATTTATAACAGTTAACTGAAGGAAATGGGATTTTCCCGCCCCAAGAGAGCAACTACGATTGATGTTTTAAGGAGTTTCTCATTACTGAAAGTACAGGCAATTTATTTAAAAATTTATAAATGAGGGGCACCTGGGTGGCTCAGTGGGTTAAAGCCTCTTCCTTCAGCTCAGGTCATGATCCCAGAGTCCTGGGATCGAGCCCCACATCGGGCTCTCTGTTCAGCAGGGAGCCTCCTTTCCTTCCTCTCTCTCTGCCTGCCTCTCTGCCTACTTGTGATCTCTGTCTCTCAAATAAATAAATAAAAATATTAAAAAAATATATATATAAATGAGAGTGCTGCCTCTGACCTTCGGAGCTCCACTCATATGTACTAGTTTGTGCCCTGGAATGACAGCCAATAGGCTGCCCAGACTGGGGGCCCAGTGACTATTAACTCAGGAGTTTAGATCCAGATGGGGTCAAACAAGTTTTGGTTGACTAGCTTGGAAACCCAGTGCCCAGACAGAATTTCAATTTCGGAAACTTAAATTTTTGTTTGACCCCAGATGGAAGATGCCTGTGGCAAGTCACTAGCTCAGTAAAACAAATATCATTTCTAAGGTAAGCCATATCTAGAATATTCAGTTTGGTTTAAGGCAGTATTTCCTAACACTCACTTCACATTGAAGATAGTTGAAGATCCTTAAAAAAAAAAAAAAAATACACCATTGCTTATCTGCCAGAAATCTGTATTTGGTTAGTCTTAATGGACCTGGGACATAATTAGGTGATTCTAATGTGTAATCAGGGCTCAGTCACTGATTTTGAAGATAATTGACAAACTGTCTTTTCCTGGAATGGGATAGTGCATTATAATTTGCAGCTCACCTGGAAGAGAATAATATTGCCAAAATAAAATTATGAAAAAACTCAGCTAAGTATAGGAGACCATTTTTAAATGGTTGAGGCAAAGGTTAAATTGTTTGTTTTTTTTACTCTTTTGAAGAAGGCAAAAGTATAGGGCCGAACTGGAATTGTATTGAACTCTATCCCTGATGAAAGTAGGGAAGTATCCATTGTATAAGGGTCAATAAACTTTTCCTATTTGGGCCACATAGTAAATATTTTAGACTTTGTGAGCCACATCCAGTCTCTAGCTTTATTCTTCCTCATTTTGTGTTTTCAACTCCTTAAAAATGTAGAAGTCATTTCTTAGCACACGGGCTTCCAAAAAAGGGCCGGATCTGGCCTGTGGGCCATGTGTTGCCAACCCCTAATCGAAGTATTTGTTGTGTATTTTTCCCATGAAGCAGTTTTGTTGGGGATGAAATTATCTAACTTTTTTATATTTTTGTTTTGTCTTAGTTAATTCATCTGCTTACACTATTTACATGGGAAAGGATAAATATGAAAGTAAGTTTTCAAAAGCATTTGATTTTGAAATTTCCAGCAGGTAAGTGTTAATTGCCTCCTCCCCTACCCACCCTTGGTTGGTCAGATAAGAGTTTTCAGCTAATTACTACTAATTAAGCCCATTATAAGGCATTCCAGTGGGTTAACTTTCCTGGGATTTAATTATATCAAATAATATTGGGGTCTATTGGACCACTTGTTGCTGATTAGAAACTTAACTCTTACTAAGAGTTTTGTGGTATCGTCTGATGTAAGGTGATATGAATCAGAGGTTAACCTGTGCTAATTTATATCAAGTAAAAATCATGTGTGACTTAGTTGTAAAGATCATTTTCTGTATGTTTTTACCACATTTAAGAATAGAGGAAACATACTTTTAGGATTTTTGAGGCTGAAGATGGCTCTTTTTGAGTTACAAAATGTTAACATTATTTTTTCAAACTTTGTTGATCAATCTGCTCAGAATGAAATACATTATTCCACACTGTACACATCGATGTAACTAAAACAAAAATTTACAAAAAATGCCCATACTTTTTGCTGTGCCCTCTTTTTTGTTTTGTTTGATTTTTACAAAGCTAGACTCAACCAGCTATGTTAATTTTTTGACCCACTAATCAATGTAAACTAAAGTTTAAAAGGGAAAACCGCTTTAGGGATGTGGCCTTCTGATTGCCCGAGTGAGGAGGGAGACGAAAGCGAAGGTGAGCTGTCTTGCTGTGGGAGTTGACAGCCCTGAGCTGAGGGAGAAAAGATATGCAGCAAGGGAGCTTGGAGACCTGACAGAACCCCTCTTCTTCAAGCTTGGAGAATACACAGTGGCTCTTCTCACAGGGTTTGTGTCATGTTTTGGAAAAAAGCACTCTGAATTCAGGCCCATGTGGGTTAAAATGCAAGCTCTTAGCAGACTGGCTGTAGTCACTTCACCTCTCTGAACCTCACATTGCTGAGGTGTACAAAGAGGATCATGGGCCATTGTCTGCCTTGCAGGGGTGTGAGGGTTAAATAAAAAGCCAGAGTAAAGTACCTGGCCTGGGGTAGGCTCTCAGCAATGGTAGGGGTCACCGATGGAGCTTCTTTAGCTCCCCAGAACCAGCTCCTCTTGTTCCTGTGACTGCTCCATGGCTGAGTGACCACCTCAGGACTCTGAGAGCTGGCCAGTTCCCTCCAATTACTTTTCTTTAACCTCCAGGTATTGCTTTATTTCCCCCCCGCCGCCACCCCTAAAACCATCAGTCTGTTCCAGGTGCAGTTTGAAACTGACAACAGTTTAAACTTGATTCTTTAAAAGAGGCAAGTATAACATTTTTCAGTATGAGACATTTGACATGAATGAAATTAACAAAGCCAAAAATGAAAAAATGTCAGAGAACAGTAATGTTATATATTACTATAGTATATGCAGATGTAGAGTTCTACATCTATAGTTAACTACATGTATAGTTAACATATACACATATCTAATATAACATACAATGTAATATATATAAAATGTATAATGTGATACATGTAATAGCTGTGTAAATATATATAATTATTAATCAGATCTTTATAAATGGTTTAGAACTTTGCAATAATACTGGTTGCATAAAGCAGAATGAGAATAAGCAAGACTATTACATCCCATCCAAGACAAAAGAAAATCCTAAAAACAACAGAATAAAATAATTTTTAAGCAGTTTTTCCTTGTAATGAATTTATGACATTGTCTCTGGTGTGCGTTATAGAGAAGCAATCTGCTGTATATTAATACTTGAGTTTTCTATTTCTCTTAGTAACTCATACATCATCATAGGTAATTTGTATTTTTTTCATAGCATCCTCCTGATGAATGTGGCTGAGAAGAGGATGCTGTCTCCTTGTAGTACATTGATCAAGGAGGAACAGTTAGAACCAGTCCTGGTTACCTACACTAGATACAGATCCATACCTGATCAAATCTACTTTTCTTTCTACTACATTGAGGATGCAAGCCCAAGACTTAGGTTACTGAGAAGCACCTAAAGGAGAGCTGCTCCGTACAGTTGTGTGGGTTTTGCACTGTATGACTCTGGGCAGGAAACTTTATTTCTTACAATGAAGGACTGCATTGATACTGCTTCCCATTGACAAGCTCTCAAGGCAGCTGTGCTAGGGACAGTCCCACCATGTCTCTCTTTTCCTTCCATTTTAGTTTACTGTTTGCTGGGGCTGATCTGTGTGGGTCCACATGCCACCCTCTCTGAGTAGCCAAAGGGGAAGATGTAATCTGTGCTTTCGCAGCATTAAAGGTGGAGAGGTACACACACAAAAAAATAATGATTATTTTGCTGTGAATCTAAAAACTGCTCTTAAAAATGAAGCCTATTTTAAAAAGTGTGGGTTAGGGGCTCCTGGGTGGCTCAGTGCATTAAAGCCTCTGCCTTCGGCTCAGGTCATGATCCCAGGGTTCTGGGATCAAGCCCCTCCTTGGGCTTTCTGCTTAGCGGGTAGCCTGCTCCCTCCTCTCTCTCTGCTTCCCTCTCTGCCTGCTTGTGATCTCTGTCTGTCAAATAAATAAATAAAATCTTAAAAAAAAAAAAAACAACAACAAAGTATGGGTTCACTGAAGCAGTATGAGTAAGTGCTGTAGCAGTAGAGGCAGAGAGTAAGTGTGATTGGGAGAGAACCAGGAAGGCTTCGTGGAGAAGGAAGGGCTAGGATGGGCGTGATTGTAGCCCATTTAAAGGAATGCCCATTGTAGAAACTTTTATGTACAGATTTATATCTACAGACATAAATTTAGATTCGACAGGTGTAAATTTAGAATCTTTCCAGAACCCACTGGAGTGGTGTTTTGCTGTCCTTAAAATGTATGTAGAAAGAAATCTATGTATAGAACATTTTTTCCCCATGACCGTTTGGAGATATTTGGAGGTGTCCGTTTTCCTAGTCAGCTTTGTATGAAAATATTAAATTTTTTTTAAAACACCCCATTCTCTTGTGCTCCTAGCACTTCATACTTATTTCAAACAGCCTTGATGACTTCAGACAAGTGACTACGTGGAACACAAGTGAATTTTTAATTGAATAATTTTCTTTTACTGAAAAGCTTTCAGATGTTTTCTTTTTATTAGCCAGCAGGTGTCACCAGGGAGCCAAACATGGCCTGGCTGAGGGAAAGAGGTTTTTGTATTTCCCTTTACTTTTTTTGATTACTTGTTGGCTATTGGCTCAGCTTCCCATTTAAGCTAGTAGGAAGCCCTTCAGAAAATTTATGGTGTCTGCAGTATCTAAGAGTACCCTCATCCAAGATTTATCATCCCTTTGTTTTTCTGGAAAATGAATACCCCTTTCAAGTTAGATAGATTATACTTTCTGGAGTACATTTTAAATCATCACATTAATCATTTTGTTTACCTTACAGTTTTTAACCTTGTGTCTGATACTTTAATGCTTTTGTATTAAACACAATTAGTTTCTAATTATTAATGTGGCTATTGGAAGTGTATAATGATATTATTTTTCTGTAGTGATAATATATTATTAGCCTTAAAAATGTAAAAGTATACATTTTGAAGGAATAATTCACCTTTTATAAATATGCTTGAAGGAAATAATCAGGAATATGGACATATTTATTTTAAAAATATTTACTAAAGTATTTATTATTAAGAACAGTCCAAATGTGAACAGTAGAAAGTTTATTCACATGATAGAATTAAGTAGTCATTGTTTCCAAAGAACTTTTTCATTTTTTATTTTACTTTGCTCTAACAAGTACATAGCTTAGAACTTCAAATAGTAACAATGCGTATCATAAAAACATTTGTTTTTCACCCTATCCTTTCCAACACCCATGTTCCATCCCAGAGAGACAGTTTTAATTTCTAGCTATTTCTTCTATTTTACTTTTCTTTTGTATGTGACAGAATTTTAGGTGATTTTTATTTCCTTTTTTATACTTCTGGTGGTTGTTGTATCTTCTAATGTCCTACAATTTTATAATTGAGAGGTCTTTTTTAAAAAAGTAAAATGCGGTCTGCTGATTAGCAAAACCATTTTAACAAATAAATTTCTTACAGTGCATCAGTTTTGTAAGACCTCATCTAACTTCTTAGGTACTCTGATTTGAAGTTTTACTACCTTTTAGTAGAAATATCTTTGAAGTTTCTTAGAAGTGTTTTTATAAGAATAATAACAATTATCATGGCCCAAATGTAAAAACCATTTTTACAAATTTTTCTTTTTCCTGTGTTTTCAAGCATCATAGCCTCTCTGAATTACTCTTTCCTCCATTAAGGGAGAGAAATGGTTGTGGAAAGGCTTGGTATTTCTCCACTCCCCAGCTTACTGTAAACTCTGGCATATTTTCATTTGACAGGTTTTTTTTAACCTTTTCTTTGTTTTCTTGTTTCTCACTATAGATGAAGATCTAATAAAGCATGGCTGGCCTGAAGATATTTGGTAAGAAATAATTTTGCTTCTGCTTTCTATGCCTTGTTTACTTTTTTTAGATTTGGCCAGCCCACCTGATCTTTATGTTGAAACCTAGAACTTAACGCTTTGCATTTTGTTTATGAATGGTCAGTGGTAAGTAGCTGCCTGCCGGCTCCCCTCATTTACAGTTGCTGTGTAAACTAGGGATGACCACAGAGGCCTCTGGAACCTAGGCTTTCCTTTAACCTCATATGTGTCTTCTCATAGTGGGCTAATGAGACCACCTCACTCACACACTCAGACCATTCTTCCTAAAAGGACAAAGAATCAGTGAGGGCCTCACAAGTTGCAATGAGGAAAATAGAAGCTTCCCTGTAGATGGGATAGATAGAGCATCTGACCAGGTCCAGCTATAAAGAAAACAGAGTCTGGCTTCCCTTTGTCTTTCCAACTAAAACATAATAATTACTTTCTTCACCTCCTTCCAAGATTATTTTTGCTGCTCACAAAACCCAGCCCAAAGGACGATGACCAATGATCAAAAAACTCCTTCATTTTAGTTGAATTCTTTTCTTTTTCCGACTGCCTTAGAATGCCATATGGGTGTTTCTACCTCTCAGACCTTGAACCTTTTAGGAGGGCATGGACTCCTATGTCTTTCACATAACACTGTTGGGCTCAGTTTGCGTTCCTTTTCTGTCTTCAGCTTCTATTCTTGTGATGTGTCTCTCCTGGAGCCTAATTCTTTTTTTTTTTTTTAATTTTTTTATTTATTATTTTTTTATAAACATATAATGTATTTTTATCTCCAGGGGTACAGGTCTGTGTATCGCCAGGTTTACACACTTCACAGCACTCACCATAGCACATACCCTCCCCAATGTCCATAACCCCGCCCCCTCTCCTGACCCCCTGACCCCCAGCAACCCTCAGTTTGTTTTGTGAGATTAAGAGTCACTTATGGTTTGTCTCCCTCCTGATCCCGTCTTGTTTCATTTATTCTTCCTGGAGCCTAATTCTATATAGAGAGCAGGATATGGTCTCCACAACTCCACAAACACCGCCCCTCCCCACAGTGCTGTCCCTAAAGATAAGCACACAGATCCTTTTTGCTTTCATGATAGTAATAACAAACACGTATTGAATACCTCACTATATGCCAAGTACTGGTAGGTGTTTACTTTATTAATACCTTTAATTTCACTGTAACCCTGTAAAAGAGTTACTGGTATTATACCCATTTTCAGATGAAGAAACTAAGGCTCTGGGAGACTGAACAGATGTGCTCTGGTTGTTGCTGTTTCCCCAGCTGGCTCGAGTTCTGAAGTACCAACTTTTTTCTTCCCTTCGGCTGCTGCTCTCTGGCTACGGGTGACTTCCTTCCTCCCTTGGGCCATTGCTGCAGCTCTCTCTGGACCTCCTTTCTCCTAAGTGTAGGCCTGGATCCTTCACTCAATTCCCTAGAGAGACAGAGGTTAGACACTTTTTAGAAGGGCTGCTTCAGTTTCTAAAGTGGACAGCATTGGACATTTAATAGGAAAACTATTGCACAGAGGTTAACCTAAGCTCCCCCCAGAGATGGCCATCCTCAGAACCCCCGGGCCCAGCTGCAGGTACCCACCAAAGGGCACCTTCTCTCTTGCTTCAGTCTACCCCATGATGGAGGGGGTAATTCATGACTAAGAGGAAATGCTTTCCTGTCTGTCTTCTCTGAAGTCCGCATTCCAGGAGCCAGGAGGCACTATAAACCTGAGGAATTTTAAAGTCTTTTTTTTTTTTTTTTTTTTCAATCTGCCCCCTCTTCCAGCACAGTGGCCTGTCTTCTGAACTCAAAAATTAGGGGTCCTCAAGGTAGACACTGCTTGGTTCCCCCTTACCTCAGGTGGGCAGTGTGCACTGCCAAGGGGCTTTTGGATTGAGTACTGCTTACCTTCCTGGAACTCTAGATTATGCGCCTTATGAGGACAATGATCACTTTACTTACTATCCCATCCCATTACCTACCATAGCACCTAGCCTGGATACGTGTCCTATAAATATTTGTTAACTTCCTGATTAACTCTCTGCCTCTCTAGCAGTCATCTCTACTGGACATTTCTCCGCAATAACTGCATTCTGGTATCTCCATTTTGAGGACGTATCACTGAGCTGGCTTATTTCAGTTGTCCTTAAAACCCAAAGAGCTCCAGATCCTGTCAGGGGAAATGAGAATGGCTGCCTCTGTTTTGTAGTTATCTGCTGTGAATTTCTAACATGTCACGTTTGAGGTGTAAATACTTGCCTAGTAAAGGTGCCATATTCAGAGTATTCAGATGTACCACGGAAATCAATTTACCTTAATTTTTTAAAAAATTAAATACATGAAAGAGAAATTTCTATGCCTTATGTGTTCTGAGTTGAGTTTTTTATTTCATTATGGTTTACTCTCTCCTGGAATGCCATTTAACCAAATTAATGTCTATAGATACCTTGATACCCATCTTGACCAACTCTTGAGACTAATGACTGTTGTTGGAAGTGATGGACTTTTACGTTCAGAAGCTATTCGAGGCCTAATGTAAGGTGGAATAGCCAGCCCTCAGTTTCAGGACTGTTTTGGCAATCCTGGGAACATTCCTCGGCATGCTAGGAATGATTCAGTTGATCAGCATTCCAAGGTGATTTTTCCAACCTGTGTCTCTCCAAGGTACACTTTGGAACTTTACCTGAGTTTATACCAGAAAACCTTCTGAGGCACCTTTAAGCAAAGGATTTTCCCGGGACTAAATGAGAATGAAACTGGGTTTATCTTTAAACAAAAGAAAATAGAAAAATAGAAATAGATTGCCTCCAGACACCCTAGTGAACACTATTTCCAGGGACCCCACTTTGAGGAGTTAAATGACTCAGTTCTGAGGGTCTGCATCTCTGCATCTCCCAGTCATTGACACTCATTTATTGAGCTTTCTAGTCTTTGCATTCAGTAAAGAAAACAGGGATGAAGTAAGAGAGAGGAAGATAACAAGGACAAGAAGGAACTAGGGAACTATGGGCATAATTGAAACTTTTTGGAGTAAACATTTTAGAAGGTTTGGAAAGGTTTTTTTAAGGAAACTTGTAGAGCTGGCTTTTTGGGGGTTTTTTGTTCGTTTTTAACAGTTCAACCAAGCCCTGTATTTCCCTGCATTCCCTGTGCCCTCATAGAGGTTAACCTACTGGCATGGAATTGGTGTGTATCAGCAGTGATATATTCCCGTGTGGGTTTTGGGATTTAGATATACATTGAATTATTCTTTTGACAAAATTCCATATCAGAGACCTTTTCTTAAGGGAAATCAGAATACAATTAAACTACTGTGTGTATATGGGAAAAAGTTGTTGTAAGTGGAGAAGTGGTTTAAAACAAGTTGGAATGGGAGGAGTTACTTCTCAGCTGAACTTGCTTCCTAATGGGGTCTTTCCTAAGATTCTGAAAGAGAGTAATGAGATAGAGAATTTCTAGATTTGCAAAAACACATTTTTTCCCCAATGGAAAAGGCCAAGCTGAAGACGATAATCAGTAGCAATCTTTTATATGGGAATGCAAATGAGTAAATGAAGCAGTTGGGGAAAAATCAGTATCCACTTCTGGCTAGCAGTAATGGTTAAAAATAAAACCTAGAGGGCACTTGGGTGGCTCAGTGGGTTAAGCCTCTGCCTTTGGCTCAGGTCATGATCTCAGAGTCCTGGGATGGAGCCTGGCATAGGGATACATAGGCATCGGGCTCTCTGCTCAGCAGGGAGCCTGCTTTCTCCTCCCCGTCTGCCTGCCTCTGCCTGCTTGTGAGCTCTCTCTCTCTGTGTCAAATAAATAAATAAAATCTTTAAAAAAATAAAAAGTAAAAAAAAAAAACCTAGTCATCATTGATTGCCAAAAATGTGTACTTTTTTTCTGTATCCACAGTGACTAACAAGATGCTTAATTTGTTGAAAAGAATATTAGGAACACCGTAATCTTAACATTTATGTAGAATCACGCTGTCTGCATCTTGTACTAGGTGTGAGTGTGTGACTGTTTTCACTTCTGAAAGATACATTAATGCTAAGAAAATGTCTTCAGAAATACATAATGGGATGCAGTGGAACCTCCTTAGGTTTTTACTGAAAACTCTACGCCCGGGACGTTATGGACTAAGGAAGAGACAATTCAAGTTAACAGAATCCCAAAGTGACCGTCATGTGTTACTGTTGTTTGGTGCTAGAATCCTGGGGGCATCTCTGGATGTTGAAAAGAGAGAAAGTCAACTTTATTTGGTGAATTATTAATATGAAAACCTTAAACACTAGACTAGGTGAGAAAGGGGTTAAGTTTAGAAAGATTTCATTACATTGGCGGGTGATAGAGCCTTAATAAAAGGTAAGGTTTTATTTGGGACATTGAGATGGGAGGACATTCCAAATGCTTTTAGGACAGTATCATAAAGGGTACGCCCCATGCTTTCCGAGAAGGCCTGTATTAGGGCCATTGCCAGATGTGAGGTAGGATGAGTTGTTGGTCTGACCCATTTTATGACTCTTTCTACTCTGTGCTTCTCTTTGGATTGTTTTGCCATGCCTTGAAACTTAGGATGTCTCAAACCAAACCTCTCATCTTTTTTCCCAAGCTGGTGTCTTCTCCAACTGTAAAGTATTTCCCCCTGTGGTCCTACCAGTCTCCCAGGCTTGCAACACTGCAGTCTTGATGACATCTTTCATTCCCTTCTCTCCTCACCTGAAATTCCTTTCCCTGTGTTTCTCTCAGTCCTCTGCTTCCTTCAGGGACTCTCTAAACCTTGGTCCTTCAGAGAAGCCTTTGGTCATGGGTAGCTCTTTCTCACTGGAAAAATCACCCTTTCCAGGGTATTTCCATTTCTCTGGTATTCATCTTGGCACTTCGTCTCACACAGCTGCAGAACTTTTCATGTTTATCTTACCTCTCCCAGTTGATAGTGCCTTTAGAGGCGATGGTTGTGTTTTATACTCCCTGTGGTGCTTGGCATGTGGTAAGCACTGAGTTAATACTTTCTGGATTGGAATGCTTTAAATGCAAGGGGTCTGAGGAGATGGTTGTCTTATACCTCTTGCTAAAAGTGGTTTTCATTCTTTGTAGGTTTCATGTGGACAAACTCTCTTCGGCTCATGTATACCTTCGATTACATAAGGTAACTGGATTTAAACGTGGACTCGTGACTTTTTCTCTGGGGATGAACATCCTATCTTGTTCTCTGGCCTTTTTTTTTTTTTTTTTGTGCAGTTTAAATTGCTTAAAGTAATAAATATGTACAACAGTTGAAAAATGAGCAAATGAGATGTCTTACCCCTGACCTGGAACATCACTTAAGGGAAAGTCTGGTGATTTTGGGATACTTGGAAGGGGGCATCGTCCATATACCCCAGCTAGAACCACTGCCCTGACTGGTGTAATTATCCTGCCAGTTCAGCTGTGTGGTTTGTCACCTCTGCTTCCTCTCCCTTTCATTTCAGTTGACAATTCTGGACCTCTATCTTTTCCTGTGGAGATCATGTGTGGTTCTTTTTTCTCACACTCATGGGATTCTCCTGCCTCACTGAGGACTGATGTTCCCAGTTATCAGGGGCTTCTTTGAGACATTTAAAACAGCATTAGAATAGTAAAGGGGAAAAAAATGCAGTGTCTCCTAGTAACATAAAAGCGCTATTTTTCTAATATCTTTACATTCATCTATTATATTTTATAACAGTTGAATCATAGGGTGTATATACTGGCTATGTGTATTACTTTTTTTTTTTTAATGTCTTACTTTGGAATGATTTTAGATTTAGAGAGAAGTTGCACAGATAGCACAGAGTTCCCCTAGACCCGATGCCTATTTTCCCCCCATTGTGAACATCTTACATGACTATGGCAGATTGGTTAGAACCAAGAAACCAACATTGATACATTACCGTTAACTAAACTCTGGACTCTATTTTTGATTTCACAGTTTTTCCATTAATGTCCTCCTTCTATCCAGGAACCAGCCCAGTGTCCCACACTGTGTTTAATGGTCACATCTGCCTAGGCTCTCATACTGGCAGTTTCACACTGAAAATGTGAGACTCTCCGTATTTCTCATGACCGTGACAATTTAAGAAGCACTGGCCAGGTTCTTGACAGAATATCACTCAATTTGAGTTTATCTGATGTTTTCCTCGTGACTGGAGTTCTGGGTTTTGGAGGAAGAAATAGCACAAAGGTGGAGCACCCTCCTCATCACATCATGTCAAGGGTACATACATTGATAGAACTTAGCACTGACGTGGCTAACCTTCATCTCCTAGCCAGACCAGTGTTTGTGAGGTTTGCCCACTGGAGTGTTATTTTTCTCCCCCCTTCCATACTGTTATTTGGAAACAAATCATCAAGTCCAGCCCATACTCAAGGGGGTAGGGATGGAATTAAGCTCTACTTCTTGCAGTGGGTGGAGTATTTACATATATAAGGAAGATTTACCTCTTCTCCCCTGTATATTTAATACAGTAATTTATTTGTATAACTGTGGACTTATATTTTTTTTTATACTCTGGGTTATAAACCAGTTCTGTGTTATTTGGTTGCTGAAATTGTCCCAGCTTCAGTCGGAGCTCTTTCAGCCTGGCTTCTGTGTTCCTTTGATATGCTCCCATCCTTTTGTTTTTGAGCACTTCCTTACTTTCTGGCTCGCTAAGATGCTGTAGACTTGTCTTATATTTTCCCTGCACAGTCCTAGAATCAGCCCTTTCTCCAAGGAACGTTGATTCCTTTTATGGGGGAATGGTACTTAGAAGCCAAGTCTGGATGTGGTGTGCTCACTGCTCCAGGAGTGTCATTGCTTCTAGGCCCTCTCCGAGGTCTGGGAACTACATGTATGTATATGTCAGCTACAGAGCTAGGAACTACATGTGTGTATACTAACACATGTTAGTAATTCCTACGAACCTTTGTTTCTGTGTCTCCATTTTTATCTATTTTAAGCTAAACATGAGCTCATACTGATGTCTCTGACTAATCTGTTATTACAGAGGCCATTCTAGCCTTTTCTCCTTGCTTCTCTGTTACTTCCTTCCCAGAGCAAGAAGCCTGGTTCCCACGATCCACCATCTATTTGCTTATTCAACTCCACTATTTGTATAAGTGGTTTCAGATCTGTTCGGGTATCTCCCCATGCAAAACAACTTTATCAACTATAGTACAGTGTTTATATGCAACTATTTTTATCTTTTTGCCTTATAGTTTCCAGTCAAAATACTGTTTTCCAAAGTTATTTGTAAGCTGCTCCGTTTTTTACCCGATGCCTTTCAGTGATGTCATGCCACGCACTCAGATTTTTTTTGTCTCAGTTTACATTCCATCCTGTTGTATTATGCAACAATTGTTAGTTCCCCTAGTTAATTATATTACTCTTTAAAATGACAGTTTGATAAGCTTTTTCATCTTACTGTATTTCATATTTATTGTTTTGACCGGATGCTTTGAGTTGATAGATATTGTGCCACAATTAATACGGAACCTCTCTTGTCAGAACATGAGTTCTTTATGGTTTTTGGCGTTATGAATTGCCAATAAGAAATTTTTTTTTTAATGAACCATTTTCTGTTTTTCTTTTGAATTAAGTTTTTTGCAGTGATTCTCAGAAATGGAATCACCGAGCCAAAAGATACTGCCCTCTAAAAATAATTGCACTAGTTTAAAATGCTACCTGATAAATACAGGTTTTCCAAATCTTTCCTGGGATTTTATAACAAAAACAATAGCAATCTTTTGACAATTTTTAAATAAATTTAAGATGCTATTTCATTATGATTATAATATTCACTTAATTTATTAGCAAGGTTAAACAATGTGCCACATCTTTATTTATACTGTTTGTTTTTGAGAGCTGTGTTGTAAAGGAAAAAGAGGAAGATTGAACTCTGATGGAACAAAAGTCTGGATTCTCCTTGGCAACTTCTTGCCATTTTGGAACTATTTTAACTTTAGAGTAAGTAGATTATGGTGTTACCAAGTTTCCCTTTGGTTCGGATTAATTTTTTTTTTCCTTTAGACTCTGCTTTGTCAGGAAATGGAAGTAATACTGGTAGCCCCAAGTTCATTTACCACCAGTTACTCCTTGTTTGAGAAGAAGTTTAATTTCATTTTCTTTTGGAAGCACGTCATGTGTTCTATAAAAATACATACTCTTTAGAGAAGTTTACCTGGTCAATCTGCAGTAAATGGCATAGCCTTTTGTACTTAGTAGGTCCTAAGTGAGTGTTGGAGCTGGATTCAGACCAAGTGGTTGGGGACCCAGACTGCTGGAGGTGAGCCGTGGTTCTCTAGCTGTGTGACTTTGAGGAGATCACCTTGTTGTGCCCGTTTTCTCATCTGTAAAAGGAGCTAACAGTGCCTGTCCTCCTGGGCCATTGTGAGGATTAGCTGAGCAGTTAGAATAATGACTGAATAATGACTGAAGCAGTTAGAATAATGCCTAGCACATGCTAAGCATCGTATGTGTTAACTTTTTGGTAGTTGAATTCAGTTCAGTTCAACCCAGACCTTGAAGATCATGGATTTTCAGCAGTGTTTTTTACTCGGCTTCTTTGACTTTCAGAAACCTGTAGAAAACCCTCACCTATCTAGAGGTCTCTTATCTCGTTGACAGAGATGGCACAAAGCTCACAGTCACAATTCTGACATTTACATATTTAGAGCACCTCAGACTTCTCCAGTCAGTTCACTCTGACTTGATGCATAATGCTAAGCTGAAAGATTGTTTGTTTTAAGTCCGCTCATATTATATTAGAAGTAGCCAACAGAAAGATGAGATCGCTTCAGCCATAGTGACAGACACAGGTAGTAAGAAGGGATATCAGGATGTAGCCTAACATCAAGGATCAAGAGCCTATGTTTCCACAAGAATTCTGAAAGCACTGTACCCTGGGGTCAGTTGCTACAATGCTTAGCCCTGTCTCAGCTCTGTCTCAGCCAAGAGAGCCTATCTCTCAGCTCTGTCACTTAGTAGATTTGGGGGACCCTGGCCCAGTTACTTAACCTTGCTAAAGTTCATTTTCATCATTGCTAAAGTGAATGCTGTCTATTTCATATGACTGTTTACTTAGTGCCTGGCACATGGTAGCTACTTAAAAAGTGGTAGCTCTTTTGTTTTTTACTTACTCATTTGAATTTATTTAGAACAGAATGTCCTTCTGTGTGTTTTAGAAGCTTCTGAAGGCATCACTATCACCATTTAATGGCCTAGTGTAATGGTTGGTGGTCTTAGTAATGACATTGTATTATTAAGATGTTAAATTCAGAATCCTTTCTTTAAGTGGTCAGGGAATTGCTAAGCATGAGGTATGTCATTGAAGTAGTGGCAAACTTAAATCATGTATTTTTTTGGTTAAAATTCATGTATTTGAGTGATCCCCACTTTAAAACAAAACAAAATTCAGAAACGTCATGGAATAAACTTAATTTATCTCAAGTTATTTGGGTGGGTAAAACATTTCATTCCCATACAGAAGTGGTGCTTTAGTCCCATGCCTAGTTGGAGCCAACACTGAGGTGATTCCCGCTTGCTCTGCCTTTGAAATATTTTTGTTCTTTTGGAATGGCTTTGCTTATTCAGCTTGGACTTTGTTACAGTATCTGTACAGAAAAATGAGTCAATATTATTTTTCCGTTAGGGTGGGTGGTGGCTATATCGAACACACAAAGAGCTGGATTCCTAATTAAGGCTGGTGGATGACCTGCCTCAAATGACATTTGAGACCCAAGACCATAAGATATCTCTGTGAGAGGAAGGTCATAGGGATCTCAGCCAAGAAGACTTCTAATTATCAAAAATAGGCACCATTTCCCTGCAATGTTTCCAGAAGTAAGAATGAAGAGAAGAAAGTAACAAGAGAGAGGAGAAAGTTCCTGAGACATAATTCCAATTAGTATTTTGGTGGTTTTCTTTTATACCCTTTCCCCCCACTTATTAAGTATTATTATTTTCCATATTACTTGTACTGCCTTCTCTCAAACATTCCCGTAATATAGACTTCACTTTTCAATGTTCAGAGATACGGTGAAGAGCTTCTGCTTTTAATTGTGCCTAGTAAGGCACTAAAGCCCTCTAAGTGCTCTGGTATTGATCAGTCACAAGGTAGTGAACCATCTGGTTTATTTTTATGTTCCAGGGGGAGAAGATAGAAGACATTCCAAAGGAAGTCCTGATGGACTGTGCCCATCTTGTGAAGGCCAATAGCATTCAAGGTCAGTTTTCCTAGAGGTGTTTTCAGAATTAATGCCAATGTCTGTGTCTGAAATTGAATATATTTTAGAAAACATGTAAGTGACTTCGCATGAGTCAAACGAACAATCTGTAATATACCTTTCCCCTGTTTTGTTCTTTAAGGTGGCAGTTCTGCTACCTGTCCAAGACTTGAAAACTAATCTCTCCACCCCTCTCACATTCCCGGTCCTTTCTCAGTTCTTTCTACCATGTTCTCACTACCTTGACTGGAAGCTTGTCTAGACTTGCCTATCCTTGGTGTTGTTCGTAGAAAGACTTTTAGGGATGCCTGGGTGGCTTAATCAGTTAAGCATCTGATTCTTGATTTTGGCCCAGGTCTTGATCTCATGGCTCGTGAAATCAAGTCCTTTGTGGGACTCCATATTCAGTGGGAGTCTGCTTGGATAGTCTCTCCATCTGCCTTTGCCCTAACACTAGCGACTCACTCGCTCTCTTACACACAAATAAATAAATCTTTAAAAAAAAAAAAAAAGAAAGAAAGCTTTTGGAAATGAGGTTAGGTTAATAGCTAAGCAAGAGATTGTCTCAAGGCTTTATTTTTTAATGCTGTGTGATGTCTTTCTTTTCATCATTTGTTCTTAAATTCTGGAACTCAAACCTCTATATCCCTGTTTCCTACTCTTTCCTTCTCTTTTTTCATTCCTTCTTCTCCCTGTATATTGTGAAGGTATCAAGTCTGTTGATCTTTTTATCTCCTAGAGAATCTCATTTAGGTGGTCTGGGGTGATCCATAAGTATCCATATTTTTCCAGTGTTTTCCAGGAGATTGTAATGTGCACAGAGGGTTGAGAACAATTGGCCTGTTTTAGGGGAGGCCTGCAATTCTGGGCTTGGTGCTTGTTTAGTTCTGTCAATAGTAGATTTAATCAGTCAGTAGTCGGTACAGGTCAAGAAGGATAATTTTGGGGGAGGAAGTGGGACTTAAAAAGGAAGCCAGGAGATGATAGTCTGCTAAGAATGGTTGAGCTAGTAGGTTGGATTTTGGGGTGTAGGACATAGAGTTAGATAGAGTAGAGGTAAGTTTGGTGAGATGTGAGGTTATGAGATGATCTAGAGGGTTGGAAAGTAATATGGTTTGGATAGAGGGCCGACACAGAGCTGATAGCAGGTACCAGGGCTGGAGATTATAGGATAAGAGTTGGCCAGTGTACCCTTTCCTCATCACTTAGACAGGGTTTCCTAAATCTAAGTTGGGCAGCTTTACTGAGTCAGATACTGAGCCAAAGAAAGTAGAAGTCTGGTCTTGTAGATCCAGTGATTTTCAACTCCATAAATCATTAAATTGCAGTTAGTCTTAGGACATTCCATTTTTATGAGCAGAACAGAGTTCTTAAGATTTCCAGTCATGAGCTTCAGTTATTAAAGTAAAAATAATAAAATTAAAACAATCATTATCCTCCTGTGTGTTGCAACCTCTTTCACGTGATCTTGTCCCCTTTCCATGCCCCTGGCTAGGAGATGTGACTTTATTAAGGGATCTCTGGACTCTTTATTCTGGGCGTGGACTCTTTCTTCTTATTCTTTTTGTAGTTTACTAGTTTTAGAGAAGACAGAAAAGACAGAAGAGTTCTGACACTGCCTTCCGCTGCTTTCCACTTCAGCTTTCCCCGGTGAAATCTCTCTTAGCAGAACGAGTAGCTGAGCCCAGGAACCTCACCCAGGAGTTGACAGCAGAGGATGCTGAGCTGCTCCATTTTCATTGCTGTGTGGTTAAAATATCTACCCCCCCAACCCCCTGCTTGACCACCTCTGGCTCTCGGAACCAAGAAATTGAGTTAAACTTGTTTGTCATCATGGAATCTGGGCAGTTTATTTGTAGACGCCTTTGCCAGATTAAACTTTCTAAAAGCTTAGATACTTTCTATGACATGCCTCCCCTTAATTACACAGTTAAGTCCAGACTTCTTAAGCTGGAAGTTAAGCATCTATGCTCTGACTATAGGCTTTTTTTCCCTTCACATATTTCACCCTCCAGCCAAAGCATGTCTTGGCTGTTTTCTTCCCATACACCTCTGCTTATGTTGTCTTCTCTTTCCTCAGTTTTACTGCCTTGTCAGTCATCTCATGTCTAGATGCAAGCTAAGGTTCAAGGTCCACCCAGTGGTTGTAGTAATGGTACTAATAGCTAACCTTGAGCGTTAATTACATGCCTGGCACTGTGCTAAAAACTTCACAGATTATTTCATTTATCAACTCTACTGAGATATGCATTATTATTTTCATTCTAGAGATGAGGGAGCTGAGCTTAAGGGAGTTAAGGAACCTGCCCAAGTCCTCAGAGCTCTGAAGTGTGGCAGCAGGTACATTTGAAGTCAGTCTGACCTAAAAGTCTTCTGTCTAAACCACTAAACTGTATTAACCGATCCAGTGGAGCCTTTGCCTTCTTCCAGCGTGGGTGATCACTGCCCTCTTGGAGCACTTTACCTCTACCTTTCAAGTAGCATTTGATGAGTTCTGTTTTTCTTATCTTTCCCCTTTTTTTTTTTTTTTTTGAGATTAGATTGATTTATTTTAGAGAGAGTGGGGACCACGGGAGGGGGTGTCTGTTGCAGGGAAGGCAGAGGGAGAGAAGCAGACTTCTTGCTAAGCAGGAAGTCAGGAAGTCTGACACGGGGCTCAATCCCAGGACCCTGAGATCATGAGCTGAGCCAAAGGGAGACACTTAACCGACTGAGCCACCCAGGTGCCGTGGTGAGTTCTGTTTTTCATAGTAGTGATTTACATACTTACCTGCCTTCCTTTAGTGTTGGAAGGCAAGACCCATTGTCTGATCCATGTTTAGATCTCCCATAGCACCATGCACATGGAGATCTTTTTAAATCTTCATTTTGAAAAAAAAGTTCCAAAGCTACAGAAACGTTGCCAAAAAAATACAACTCCTATATGCCCTTCACTTAGATTCAATAATTTTTCCATATGTATTTGCTTTCTCTCTATAATGTTCTAATTATTTGTTTTTTTAGCTGAATCATTCGATGGAAAAATTCTAGACCTCATAACTCTTTAGTATGCCCTAAGAACAGGAACATTGTCTTAAGTAACTGTATTACTGTAACCTTATTCAGGAAATTTCATGTGGATAGAATACTATCATTTGATATACAGTCCCAGTTGTTTTCCCAGTTGTCCCACTACTATCTCTTTATAGCATTTTTTTTCCTGACCCAAGATCATATGTTATAGTTATTCATCATATCTCTATAAGTCTCTTTTAACCTGAAGACGCTTATTTTTTTTTAAGAACTTTTCTTTTTTAAAGATTTTATTTATTTATTTGACAGAGATCACAAGTAGAGAGGCAGGCAGAGAGAGAGAGAGGGAAGCAGGCTCCCCGCTAAGCAGAGAGCCCAATGTGGGGCTCAATCCCAGGACCCTGGGATCATGACCTGAGCCAAAGGCAGAGGCTCAACCCACTGAGCCACCCAGGCACCCCGACACTTATTTTTTTAATTTAATTTAATTTAATTTTTTTCAGTGTTCCAAAATTCATTGTTTATGCACCACACGCAGTGCTCCATACAATATGTGTGTTCCATAATACCTACCACCAGGCTCACCCAACCCCCAGCCTTACCCCCAAAATTTCCTCAGTGTTTCTTAGAGTCCACAGTCTCTCATGGTTTGTCTCCTCCTCCAGTTTCGCCCAACTCCCTTCTCTCCATCTCCCCATGTCCTCCGTGTTATTCCTTATGCTCCACAGGTAAGTGAAACCATGTGATAATTGACTCTCTCTGCTTGACTTACTTCACTCAGCATAATCTCTACCAGTCCTGTCCATGTTGATACAAAAGTTGGGTATTCATCCTTTCTGATGGAGGCATAATACTCCATTGTATATATGGACCGTATCTTCTTTATCCATTTGTCTATTGAAGGGCATCTTGGCTCTTTCCACAGTTTGGCGACTGTGGCCATTGCTGCTATGAACATTGGGGTACCAGGTGGCTCTTCTTTTCACTACATCTGTATCTTTGGAGTAAATAGCCAGTAGTGCAATGCAGGGTCATAGGTAAGCTCTATTTTTAATTTCTTAAGGAATCTCCACACTGTTTTCCAAAGTGGCTACACGTACCAACATGCATTCCCATCAAAAGTGTAAGAGGGTTCCCCTTTCTCCACATCCTCTCCAACACTTGTTTACTGTCTTGTTGATTTTGGCCTTTCTAACTGGTGTAAGGTGGTATCTCAGTGTGGTTTTGATTTGAATCTCCCTGATGGCTAATGATGATAAACATTTTTACATGTGTCTGTTAGCCATTTGTATGTCTTCTTTGGAGAAATGTCTGTTCATGTCTTCTGCCCATTTTTTGATGTGATTATCTGTTTTGAGTGTGTTGAGTTTGAGGAGTTCTTTGTAGATCTTGGATATTAGCCCTTTGTCTTTATTGTCATTTGCGAATATCTTCTCCCATTCCATGGGTTGCCTCTTTGTTTAGTTGACTGTTTCCTTTGCTGTGCAGAAGCTTTGATCTTGATGAAGTCCCAAAAGTTCATTTTCGCTTTTGTTTCCTTTGTCTTTGGAGACATATCTTGGAAGAAGTTGCTGTGTCCGTTGTCGAAGAGGTCGCCGCCTATGTTCTCCTCTAGGATTTTGATAGATTCCAGCCTCACGTTGAGGTCTTTTATCCATTTCGAGTTTATCCTTGTGTGTGGTGTAAGAGAATGGTCGAGTTTCATTCTTCTATACATAGCTGTCCAGTTTTCCCAGCGCCATTGATTGAAGAGATGGTCTTTTTCCACTGGATATTTTTTCCTGCTTCTAAAGACACTTCTTTATCTTTCAAGATGTTGACCCTTTGGATGGAAACCACTTGTAGGATATCCTGTAATGTGTGTTGGTCTGATACTTCCACTTGAGTCAGGAATACCACAGAAGTGAAATCTTGTGTGTTACAGTTGGGAGCCACATGGTACTATTTTGCTCCATTTTTGATGAGGTTAATTTTGATCACTTAAGCAGTTGGGTACCAGTTTTCTCCATGGTATATGGTGATTTAATAAACTCTGTAATGTACTGAAGAGGGCTTTAAAGAGTGCTAGACCAGTGACTAAACTGAGGTTCTTCAAGCTGCCTGAGAAGCAGAGGGGGAATGTGAGGTGGAGGTGGTAGGAGGAATGAGTGGGGTATGGGGTACCCGGCACCCCTTTCATCCAGAGCATCTCTGCTTTTATTCCTTTGATACGTTTTCTTTGGTAAAAGAGGGGGGCCACTGTGAAGAGAAACAAACAAACAACTCTGCTAGTCCAGTCGCCTCCTGTTTCAGCTGAGATTCCGGGAGCCGTGGGCATGCTCTCTAGGGGACACAGCAAGTTTGTGTCGGTGCCAGGGGCACATGCCGGTCTCTTGAATCTCAGACCGTGGTTTTTTGCTTTATCTCGATGTTCAGCCTTTGCTGAATCAAGGACTCCATTGGGAATCTGAGGGAAACCTGTTCAGTCCATTTCTCTTTTTAAAAAAACGCGTATCCTAAATTTTGCAATCAGTATTTGGGAGTCTCAGAAGTCCCTGAAGCTGAGCCACAGACCCCTGCTTTCCTTCATAATAGTTCTGCTTGAGTCGTGTTAGTCACCTTTATCATTTGCCTATTATGGGCGCGTTCAAGAAAAAAGTATTTGGTGGTTTGAATCCCTCCATGGCCGTTCGTGCTGCCTTTCCCTTTGTTGGACTTTGGTAATTGGCCAGTGGGTGACGGAGTGCATTGCTCAGTATCCTCCGGCCTGCATGTTGAAGACAGTCTCTTTTGGCAGGCTGCAAGATGAACAACGTGAATGTGGTATATACACCGTGGTCTAACCTGAAGAAAACCGCGGACATGGACGTGGGACAGATAGGCTTTCACAGGCAAAAGGATGTAAGTGTTGCACACCGCCAGAGGGGGGCGGGGTGGAGCCCGGGCTTTGCCGGCTCCTGCCTTGGTTGTTGAAGGCTCCGCATGATGTCTGCCTTCTGGATCCCTTTCAGCTGGGTTGCTCAGCTCCTCGAAAACATCGCTTCTGTTCTGGGGGGGAACCTACAATAAAGATTCCGTTTTGTCCCCCCTCCCCAAATCTCCCTCAAAGGTGAAAATTGTGACCGTGGAGAAGAAAGTGAATGAAATCCTGAACAGATTAGAAAAGACCAAAATGGAACGGTTCCCAGACCTCGCGGCAGAGAAGGAATGCAGAGATCGAGAAGAGAGGAATGAGAAAAAAGCCCAAATTCAGGAAATGAAAAGGAGAGAGAAGGAAGAGATGAAGAAGAAGCGGGAAATGGACGAACTTAGGTATGTTGGAGCTGCAGTATTGGTGTTAAACGAGGAGATTCATCGCCGTTGATTATCATCAGGGACCAGCCCATAGGAAGGTTAGACCAGTGGAGGGCAGGACAGATGACAGACTCAGGGCCTGAAGCAGCCTAGGAAAGAGCAGTTATGCTGATGCAGTAGTCAAATGACTCCCTTTTATAGGGGTAGGATATGAGTGTGTGTGAAATAAAAAGAGCTAATTTTATTCTTAAACTGTCATAGGTTATCTTTAGAGTTTGGTTTGTAAACATCTTCAGGAAAAGAAAAGATGCTATATTAAGGGTTTAACATTGACTTGCTGTGGTATTTGAGTAAGATGGTCTTAGGTCTGAAGACCAATGCTAGTAATTCTTTTTTTTTTTTTTTTTTTTTTAAGATTTTATTTGTTTATTTGAGAGAGCACAAGCAAGGGTGGTAGGGTGAGGGTGTTGAGAGCCAGAGGGGAGAGGGAGAAACAGGCCCCCAGCTGAGCAGGGAACCTGAGATGTGGCTCCATCCCAGGACCCTGGGATCATGACCTGAGCCGAAGGCAAACACTTACCCCATGGAGCCACCCAGGTGCCCCAATGCTAGTAATTCTTCAAATCTGTTTTTTGGGGTGCCTGGGTGGCTCAGTGGGTTAAGCCACTGCCTTCAGCTTTCTTTTTTTAAGAAAGAAAAACATCTGAAAGTTGGAAGTGATTAATGTAATGAGGCCTACTCCAAAGCACTACGTTTTACAGTGATAAATAGTACGGGGTGCCTGGCTGGCTCAGTCAGTAGACCATGTGACTCTTGATCTTGGGGTTGAGTTCAATCCCCATGTTGGGTGTGGAGCCTACCTAATAAAATAAGGCATAAAATCTTTAAAAAGTAAACAAATAAAAATGAGTAAATAAAATGATAAGGAGTAGTTAAAATATAGCTTGGGTCCTAAAATTCTAGTGTATGAGAATACTGACTGTATTAGTTTTCTGTGGCTACTGTAACAAATTATCACAAATTCAGTGGTTTCAAATAACAGAGATTTCTTATCTTACAGTTCTATCCATTCATACGTTAGAAATCCAACATGGTTCTCAATGGGCTAATACCAAGGTTCAACAGGGCTGTGTTCCTTTCTGGAGCTCTAGGGAAGACTCTTTTTCCTTTTCCAGCTCTTAGAGGCCACCCACATTCTGTGGCTTGTGTCCCCTTCCTCCATCTTCAAAGCTGGCGACATGGCATCTCTGAAACATACCCCCACAGTCGTAGCCCCATCTCTGAGCACAGCCTTCTCTACTATTGAGGACCAGTGTGATGACATTGGGCCCACCCAGACAATCCATTGACTCTGCATCCAGGATCCTTAACCCAACCTCATCTGCAGAGCCCCTTTTGCCAGATAATATGCCAGGCGACATATTTGCAGGTCCTGGGGATTGGGATGTGGACATCTACATGTGGGATCATTATTCTGCCCACCACTCTGAATCTATAATTGACGTATAGTTTATACTTAAAGAGACTACTGGGTTTTCTTCATCAAAGAGGGAATTTAATCCTACAACTTCTACTCACAGGATTTCTAGATTTTCCCACAGTTCTCCATAGATACCATTTGTGTTAAGTATACCGAAAAGAAAGGGGGGAAGAAAGGATACTGCTGTGCCTCTGCGAAAGGTATAGGATCAAAATGAGCTGTCTTGCCATGTCCTGACTCAGTTTTCTTGCAATACGCTGGATGATTAGAAAGAGTATTGGGTCCTGGTGTAGGTATAATGATCAAGTACTGGTATTTCTTAGTTATCTGCCTACATGTGCCCCTTTTGGGGGTTCTGCTAAAGTGGGATAAGTGGCTTCAATGAAAACATAATACTCAAATGGAGAACTCCAGAAGTGTTATCCTGAGTTATAATCTGCTGACATGAGACAAACAAATGCACAGATTGGGTTTGACCTAGATTGGGAGTCTGCTTTGTGTCATGAATAAAAAAAATTATCAGCTCAATCAGCGCAGTAAAATGTGTGGGATTTTGAGCAATGTGGGATTGAGAGCAGCTTATTCATTTTTGTTTTTCATGTGAAGGGGGGAAAAGATTGAAAACACACCTGCTGGTACCCTTTCTAAATCTAACAATTTTGTTTAGAAACATAAAAGGATAGGAATATAATATCACTTAATTTACCTGAAAACTTGAGAAAGAATGGCTAACATTTTGGGACCCTTGTCATCTGCCAAACGCCGTACTATGTTCAGCTCCATTATCTCATTGAACCCTAACAATAACGGATATGAGGCAAATGTTGTTATTACTTGCATTTTCTAGAAGAGGAAATTGAGCCTGACAAGCAGTTAAGTAACTTGCCCAAAGTCACATAGCTAGTCTTTCTGATTCACAAGCTCATAACATGCTAGTACCATTCTCTTCTGCCTCTGATCAGTCTGTTCAGCTTTAAAGTAAAATTTATTGCATATGAATCAAGAAATTTCTAGATATGGGAATTTATCTTGAAATGTATATCATTTTTGTTTCAAATCAAGCTGTGTACTAGTAAAATTTAGGGGATTTTGTATGTTTGATTTTATTAGTTTAAAACACAATGTTCATATCTCCCAGATTTTCTTTTATAGTATTAACAACCCATAAAATACTTACGTAAGTTGAGGGGAAAAAAATTCTCATTGTTGTTGAATGAAATTTTTGCCTCAAAAGCAAATTTATCTAACCAGTCCCATATTCTAAGCTGTCCCTTGTCACCTGTAATATTTCCATTTGTTTTCTCAGACACAGATTTTTATCATATATTGTTCTGGCCCATATTTATCAAAAGGAAAGTGTAAGTGAACGAAATGGGGAAATCACTTTTCTAGTCCATGTTTTTCTACACAGTTTTGTCCCTGATGCTTTCTTTTTTAATGAATGATTGTGGCTCTGAGAAGACGAAAAACGACTGATATATTTGTTCCTGTGAAACCTGTGCTACCACAGTGACTTACTTTTCCAAAATGCCGAGGCTGGGAGGATGTGAGGCAGGGCTCCTGTGCAGGGAACCAACACAGCAACCCACCAAGCCCCTGCCTGTTTGCATGCTGTGCCCTGCAGCTTCTGTGAAGTTCCAGCCATAAGCTCTAAGCTTCTGACCTGCTTTAGAATCTGTTTTTATACATTATAGTGCTTTATCCATGACCTGTGTTTCTACCTTTGACTCTTCCACCCAGGAGCTCTAGTGGTGGGCCTACAGAATCATCTCATCCTCAAGTCTTTCCCTTGGCTGTCTGACATTCCCCTTCCATCCTTCCCTTGGCTGTCTGACAATGAAAATTTCATGAGCTTTCACTGGCAGATGGTTCTTTTATTTGGACCTTCTGGTAGGGAATGTCCACTTCAGTTGGTGCGATTGCCTAAGAAACTGAGAGTCTCCAGGGGATTCTGCAGAGAAACCAAGGGATATTCTTTTCCCAGAAGTTCTCCCCAGTGCTTCCAGATGATTGCAGCAAAGAAATACTCAACAGCCTCATATCCGGAGATAGCCCACTTCCCTCCAAGTCTAAAGCCATTTAGATTCTTGTCCCCTTTCTCTTCTCAACTTGTTGAACAAGAATGGCAATAAGCTTCTCCTTTCCAATGTCTACCAGGAGAAGCAAAGGATGGAATTGCCATTATACAGCTCCCAAGTTCTCTGAGCTCTAGTCTGGATCCTGTCCAGCCCTCAGCTCAGCAGTGAACAAAGCCCAGCCCACCCTGTGGAAGGCACGACTTCCTGCCCCACAGTGAAGAGTGGTAGCCCCTGGAGACAGAACTCCATCTCGTTCTTGCCAATGAGCCTATACTCCTTATACTGAGCATGCAGAACCTGGAACGGTCTGATAATGTAAATAGGTCTACATAAAGATCATCCTCTTAGATGGGTTTTAGCAATATTTGGGTTGTTGGGAGGGCACTATATTAACACCCTCTGCTCACCATTTATTTTCTTCATCCAAACCATTTGAAAAATTTCCCCTTCCTTAGACTTTGCATATTCTCACTTACCCATCTTACTCGTTAGCTCCTTAGACACATGCCTCGTGAGCCTAGAAGCTTATGGGGCTTGGGGTTAGAGAATCTTTGTGTAGGATATGGTGTAAGGAAGAAGCCTTCTCACAGGTTCCTTCTTTTCCGTGACCGCTACACCATAAGCCATACATTGAGCAAGCTGAGATGACAGCAGAGACTCAGCACAGGCTTTCAGAGTAGTCAGTGTCTTAGACGTGACCTTGAGAGTGAGAGAAGCAGACTGGCTTCTACTCAGTCTACATTTGGTTTGAGAGAGCAGGCATTTGGAGAAATCCTTTCGGCAGATTACCTGTGAGTCTCCCAGTGGATACCATCATCTATTGGCAGGTGCTGGGGAAGAGCATCGCTGGCTTCCTTCGGTGTGTCCTAGTAGTGTTGTTTCATCTGTGCAGTGGAATGCATGGTTACCTGCAAATGAAAGCTCGCCGGTCTCTTTCAGCCTTGTATTCACTTATTTGGGCTTTGTGGTGTTAAAACATCAATGTCAAAGTCAAGCTCTACCATGTGATTATTGAAACCAGAGGAAATAATAGAGAAAGGTAGTTAATAGAGGATAAGTTGAGTAACAGATCAGAAAAGAAAAAGGTAGGGACTGTGGCTACAGTCCCAGTTTAAAATCTGGGAGTCTGGGAGGTCAAATTTGAGTCCAAGGCTCGGGTACTCAAAGTCAGACAAGTACAAGACCCGGGTGAAATGGTTAGTCACAGGTGAATGGATCATCAGTTTGAACAGTAACCTGCACTTGATTTGGGGACAAAGATGACTTTAGCAAGGTGGTCAATGTTTGGAAAATTATAGCTATTAAGTAGCAAAGCAGGAATTCTAACTCAAGCCTAGAGTCCTGAGGTCCACACTGTGCTGCCTGTAAGGCAAGAAAGGAGCAGGTTGGCTAGGCCAGAGTCAAAGTCATATAGGCAAATAAAAGAATTAAAAAAATAGACACATCAGAGAGTGATTTTAAAAGGTTTTGCATGGTACAGAATTTCAGGTTGTAAGTGATAAAAGAGCCATTATAGGTGTCCTAGGATATTAGGAAGTAGTAGACCTGTAGGATGAGTTTAGTGGCAACATGTAGAAGAGGCAACAGCAAGACCATTAATTTAAAAGATGATATAGTCCAGTGTAGAACTGACTGCTTTAATTGTACCTTCTTTTGTTTCTCTCTCACATATGAGCACTGCTGCTTTCTATAATGTTCTGTGTGCCATAGCTCTCCATTTTAATGATAAGCTCCTTCAAAGAGCCACTGATATGCATCTTTGTATCTCTTATGTGTGACCTGGTGCTTTGCATATGCAGTGAGTGATTGGTTAATATATTATGGATTTATAAATAACTGAATTTGGCTTCTTTGATACAGTGATCCTTGAGCTAAGATCAGAACTATGTTTGCTGATTAAAAGGGGATTGGGTGGCAAGAGGGCTCTAAGCAGAGGGAACTAGGTGTGCAAAGACTGTATGGGAGGGAGCAAGGCAAAACACAGGGCCAGAAAGGCGGGCCCAAATATGTGGAGCGCAGGAGTGAGGGAATGCCTGGATCGAAGTGCCCATGCACACAGGGCCTGTTGGTCATGTTTGTCTTCATTCCTCATCAGACGTTCGTGAGGTTATCAAGACTTTTAAGCAGGGGGTTGTATGATAAGGTTTGTGTTTTGGAAAACTCATTTTACTGACCTGAAGGGAAGGGGATCCAGGTGGGGGTGACTATGCTGGTTAGGAAACTATGGCAGATTGCCACACGACAGATGATGGTAGCTTGGAATACAGGGGTGTCATGAAAATACGGAGAAATGGACTGGGGAGAAGTAATTTTGTAGATAGAATTCTAAGATTTGAAGCTAGATTGGCTGGAGGGGATGGGCAGGGGAAAAGAGTGAGTCCTAGGTTTCTGGGGTGTGAGCTGGAATGGATGGCGGTGCCGTTCTCTGGGCCAGGGGATACTGGGAAAGAACCAAACTGGTTTTGGACCATGAGCTGCCAAGGAACCTATGAATCTGAAAATACCTTGAGGTATCCAGAAAAATGTCAGATAAGCAGATGGATGAATGGGGTGGAGCTCAGAGGACAGGTGTGGCCTTATGAAGGGTAAATCTGTGTGTCGCTTTCATCGAAGTGGGCTCTTGGACCCAGTGGTTCTTGAACGCGGCTCGTGGATGCCCATCTTCATTGGGTGATTTTGTAATGTAGCCAGGATTGAGATTCCCTGCTCTACCCACTTCATGCTCAGCGGGCCTCTCTCTTTCTGCTCATGCAGCTTCTCGATATTGCCTGTGTGTTTCCTAGAGATACCACTTCCTCCAACAAGCTTCACCTGACCACTCTCTCCAGAGGTCTCCCAGGTGGTCGTCACTAACCAGGACTGTTCTTCCCTCTCATTCTCAGTTTTCCGTTTCTGCAGTGCGTATTCTCTACTTGGATGTCTCTCCATCCCTTCACGTGCAACATGTCCCACACCGAGCACACCTTCTTTGCAGCATATGCCCATTTCTCTCAACTGTAGCATTATTTTCTTCAAGTCACCCAAGCTGGAAACCTTGATATTATCATTGATTCCTCTCAGATTTCTCTTCTTACCAGGACAGCTGTTGGAAGAGTCTGGATTCATGCCCTTGTTGGGGGGATATTGCAGCAGAATGGATGGAGTATGACGGCAGGAGTGTGAGCTCGGAAGTCGGATGTGGGTTCTCAGGCTCGCTTCTCCCCTAGTTAGCTGGGAGGCCTTGCACGACTTCCTTAAGGTCCACGGCTCTGCCTCCTATGTCTTCAGTAGGCATGAGACTCTCCCTTGCCTTATAAGGTTGTTGAGGCGATTGACAGTAATTTATAAGGCATAGAATGCAGGTCCTCGCAAACAAAGGATACTTGGTAAATTGTAAATACTGTTATTATTAACTCATCTCCTTGCCTTAACTTCCCTTCTCCCTCTCTTCTGTCTGCTACAGATTACTCTTTTTAAAACACTGGTCTCACTTCCCTTTTCCTCTTGTCTCTGTGTATTTTTCCTTTGTCTCTTTGTGTATTTTTAACTAACTTATTGCATGTTTATGGCTGAATAGGTCAGATCTCCTCTCCTGGTAAGCTCTTTGGGGCTAGGCTTTGTCTTATTCATCAGGTTCTGTTTTCTTCCCATCCCATCCTCCACCAGGCTTAGCACAGGGCTTTACACATCACGGATATTTAATAAATACTTGTTGACTCTCACATCTCTCCTCTGCTCCTGTCTCATGTTGTGGCTTCTTGCTGATCACGTTGTGTTAGTTCATGCAGTTAGGACAACATAACTGGGCCCCACACATCCAGCCTACTTTCCCACTACTTTGTCCTCAGACTCCACTTGATTTGGCATGGAATGTCATTATAAAAACCATCTCTTTGCCTTTACTCCTGCCATCTCTGGATCTGCCTCCACTGCTCACCTGTATGGCTTGGGCTCGCTTTGGGTTCCACCTCACGTGAGAAGAGAGCCTCTCAGCAGCCCTGCTCTGCCCACTTGGATGCATCATCTCCCGAGTTCCTGCAGCCTCCACAGCCCTCGCAGTCTGCCCTAGCGAGGAGTCTGAGCTGCTCTTGGCCATAGACGGGTTTCCTCATCTGACTAACGCCACCCACCTCACAGTGTGGAAGTGACATGAAATGAGTATGACCAAGCACTCTGTAAATTATAAAGTGCTGTGCACATCTTATTTACTGTTCGAAGATACCTACCCTTTTTTTGTTGCAATCTCCTTGAGGTCAGGGATCATATTTTCCTCTGAAGGACCCTCAGCAGTGCGGGATACATGGTAAGTGTTCAGGAAATACTGACTGGATAGCGCTATTGTATTTTATTTTATTTTTAGAGAAGTGGGGAGGGGCAGAGGGAGAAGGGGAGAGGGAATCGTAAGCAGGCTCCACACCCAGCTGACCTGGGGCTCGATCTCACCACCCTGAGATCATGACCTGAGCTGAAATCAGGAATTAGGTCATTTAATCGACTGAGCCGCCCATGCGCCCCCTGGATGACCTTATTTTAAATGTGTTGTTTTCTTCTAGGAGCTATTCATCACTAATGAAAGTTGAGAATATGTCTTCAAATCAGGTATGTTCAAGTTATTTGTTTCAGTGTTGTGCCTTAATAAAGAATTGTTTAATAATCGGGTGACTAGCCAGTATTGAGTCACATGTTGCTGATGGCCTGACATGACTTGGCAACTCAGGTGCATTCTGTTGGACATTGCCCCTCTTCCCTGGAGCAAGAGGGCAAGCGGGGCAATGTGTTTTTAAGTAGGTCACCTCACGGAAAGAGATTGTTGTACTCTTTATGATGTCCAGGTCTGTTTCGGAACTTTCCTGATCATTTCCCTCTTTCCTAGTTGTAGCAGGCAGAAGGGCCCTTATTAATATTCTATATTAATGTGACTGTTGTTTCTATATTAACAACTGAAAACAAAATCCTTACCTTCAATTAAAAAACAAAAGGAAAGTCTTAACCCCAAGATCTTTCCTGCAGTCTAGGTGACAACATTGGTTGATTTCATGTTCCTCAGGACCTCCGATAAAGAGAAATGGAGATCCAGATTATAGTACGGAAAGAATTTTCTTAGCATCAGCAGCTAATGATTTTATTGGAACTATGTCAGGGACTTACTGTCCATGACTACTCTGTTCCCAAAATTTATTTGGAAGTGGCTGGAGATAGCTCAATTTAGCTACCACTTACCAGGCTGTAGAAAATCGAAACTGGGTGGATATATTTGCTATGTTTCATATTTTATAATTTACAAATACAGTTGACTCTTGAACAGTAAGGGGGTTAGGGACACCAGTCCCCCTACGCAGTTGAAACTCTGCATGTAACTTTTGACTCCCCTAGAAATTAACTATTGACCAGAAGCCTTACCCATAAACGTAAATAGTCAGTTGACACACATATTTTGTATGTCATATGTATCACATACCGTAGTCACACAATAAAGTAAACCAGAAGAAAAGACCATAAAGTGATAGGGAGAAGAAAATACTTTTACGGTTCTGAGCTGTGTTTATTGAAAAAGGTCTGTGTAAAAGTAGACCTGTGTGGTTCAAACCCATGTTGTTCAGGGGTCAACTATGTATGCTTGAGATCTTATTTTTCAGGATACTAGGCACTAGTTAACATGTTACCATTTAAATTTAATTAAAATAAAAAATAAACTTAATTAAAATGTACTTTAAAAACTCAAAGTTTCTTGGTCATACTAGCCACGTGTTGCTAGTGGTCACCATATTGGACAGCACAGAAATAGAACATTTCCACCATCACAGAAAATAATATTAAACACTACTTCCTTTGATGCTTAGAAACAGTTAACAGAATTTAAGATCCCTTAAAGGTCAGCGAGTCAAACCCCATATTTAGTTCACCAGTTGGGTTTGTTAGTAGTATTTTATACCTTGTTCATATGTCAGTGTCCTTCTAAAAATGAGTAAGAACAATATTCTTACTCCTGTCTCTGTGAAGAAATAAATTTATGGGGTTCTTTTATGAGTCAGAGCTGTAGCTTTGTAATTTATTCCTGAAAAATTCAAGAGTAGTATTATGTAGTTAAATACAGCCTTGAATTTGAAGGTTAGAGCCCTAAGCTGTCATTTACTAAGTGGATAAGCCTAATAAAATTATTTAACCTCTCTGAGGGAGTATTCATCAGCAGTGGAAGGGAGACCTAATGATTTCCTGTGTCTGCACTAGAATTCAAACAAGGGCATATATGTGAAAGTAGTTTCTTAGTCTCTGAATATAAATGGTCATTATTGCTTCTCATCAATATAGTCCTTAATTGCTCTTTTCCCACAGACTTTCAGTATTAATGATGATGAGATGTATTTAATACCTTCTGGAAACTACTCTTAGATTTCTTGGAACTCTTAAAACAGCTAAACAGTTAAACAGTAGTCTTTAACATACCCTCAGCCCATTGTCTTTGTCATGGTTATTGTTGCTTAAAAACTTTCTGTGATTTAGAGACTACTTTCCAGCAGAAATCTGGCACCTGTATTATGTTAATCTTAGGCATTTTCATTTCCATAATTGTGGATTATTAAATTTTGGATATTCTGGAATTAATACACATGCACACGCAAATATACATATATACATGATCTGAGTAGTGGCCGATGTTAAAAGCTCCAGGATTAGTGAGGCGGATTTATAGACAAAGGACTCCTAACTGCTCTGCTGTTCCTGTCTGTCTGTTGTTTGCTCCCCTGTCCCTGAGCTGAGCTCCAGGTTTCAATCAGATTCGTGTTTCCAGGGAAGTTTTGTACTGGGTGTTTTTATTCTGCCTTGTAGTGGAAGGACTCTTAGATCTTTCTCCCAGTACTGCTGAAGAAGTGGTTTCCATTCTCCTTGTAACCCTCTTGTGGGAATACAGACCTTTTGTTATCCAGTTTGGCCGCGTGATCGTGATCGGTTGGTCTTTAGTTAAAGCTTTGTGTTTATGTAAGATAGGACTTCAGTTTTCGTGTGGCTTATGTAAATTTATCAGGAAAAAATAGTCTCCACTCTGAAATTGGTTTTAATTTTGAGCTCTTGCTCTCCTATTTAGTATAATCCTTGTCAATCTGTAATTTCTTCCTAATCTTTTAAATTTGGTATCAGTAAACAGTTCCTTTCAATTCAGTTTATTTGTTTATCACTTTATAGGTGGATGACAGGAAATCTATTTGCTATATTGAAAAACGTTGACTCTTTTTTTAAAAGATTTTATTTATTTATTTGACAGATCACAAGTAGGCAGAGAGGCAGGCAGAGAGAGGGGGAAGCAGGCTCCCCACCTAGGAGAGACACTGAGATCATGACCTGAGCCGAAGGCAGAGGCTTTAACCCACTGAGCCACCCAGGCGCCCCCATATTGACTCTTAAAGGGAATCTTAAATATAAAAATTGGCCAAATAGGGGCACCTGGGTCATTCAGTTGTTCATGTGTCCGACTCCTGATTTTGGCTCAACTCATGACCTCAGCGTGGTGGGATTGAACCCACGTTTGACTCCGCACTGGAGCCTGCTCGGGATTCTCTATCCCCCATCTCCCTTTGCCGTCCCCATCCCCCACCCCATTCGTACACACCATTTCTCTCATTCTCTCTAAAAAAAATTAAATTGTCCAAATAAAGTCTTAGATCTCAGATGTATATTTAAAAGTTATTGTAATCCCCAAATACAGATCCTCAGACACATGGGACAGACACTCTGAAAATCTGACTCACAGCCTTTATTGGGAGTGACACATTTTCATTGTCACCAACCCAAATTATCTTAGAGCATTTTTCCACCTCAGTGTTCGGAATCTAATATGGACCTTCCAAGATAGATGGTGACTCTTCCAACATCTCTAATGCTGTGATTTCAGCGTAGGACACTAAGGCAGTCACAGTTCCAGTTTGTGCATAGAATGCCAACATGAGTTTGCTCTTCATATAATTATTTAAGGCATTTTTTGCCATGGCCTCAGGTTGTTGTGCTCATTGATGAGAAGCACAGAGAGAACTACTGAATGAAACCGGAGATCAGAGCGGGCCTCAGAAACCAGTGTTTCCTGCCTGTATTTCCTGTTTCCTTGCCCTTCTTTAATAAGAGGTAATAAGGGGGAGTAGAGCATATACACCTGGAAGCCTGAGCCCTCCCCTTCTCTCACAGCTCAGGTGTCAGGCCGGGGGAAGGAGAAGCTGCAGCAAGTGATATGTTGAGGTTGTGACGTTTTCAAGCAAATGTCCCAAACTTAGATACTTAGTGAATGGTGGCATCCAGGGCAGTTTTCTCAGGGTGTGCAACAGATCAAAAAGGAGTCAGGCGCTACTCTTAACCTTGGTCTTTAGGACGTGTCTGTAAGCCACACAATGATGTCTTTAAGCCACACAATAAAACAAGGGCCTTTCAAATGTATACCATCATATAAGGTTTCTTAATCAAAAACTTGGCAGGCCTAATTTAGTACCTAGCCCATGACTTCCTAATCATTTTTCCTATTAAAAAAAAAAAAATCCATCTTGTGACAACCTCGAGGCTCAGAATAATGGCGTCTAGGCCAAAAATGTGTTTGCCTATTGGCAGCATTGTTGGCAAAGGATATGAGGCAGGATCTGTTTGGATTCGTAATTTGCTGTTGTTGTTGGGGCAGTCCCATTTTGTTTTCATCACACCTGTTCCATCCTATCCTGGGTTGGGTGGGCCTTTACTTCATAACTTAGAAACTGTTGGTCACTTGTGGCTATGTAACTCAGGCCTTATAATGACACCGTAGAAATCCAGCTAGTCTAAACGACTCCTACTTTAAGGTAGAGAAGTGGTGAGTGAACTTAATGATGTTACTTTTTACTTTTATTTTCTGAACTTTGCAGTTACACATCAGGAAGCTTGTTACTTAAGATATTTTTAAAATTTGAGTAGTTTATGTTGAAGGCTTTTACAGTTGCACTTTTTTGTTCCCTACAGGATGGCAATGATTCAGATGAATTCATGTGAATGGAGGAAAGGACCTTTGAAAGATGTGAATTTCGAGACAGTTGCAGACGGTTTGATTTCATCTGTGTTTGGTGTTATAAAAAAAAAAAACAACTAAAATTCTACCTTCATTCTACACAAATATTACCAACGTTGGCGTCTAAAAAAAAAAGTTTCCTTCTTTGCCGATGGAAAAGGATCAGATATTTATAATATATTTGGACTTGAAAAATGGCATATAACTTTAGGAAAGTGAAAATATTTTTGCTGAAACCTGTCTTGGTACCTCATGAAAGTTGGCTGCCCTCGTTCTCGGGATAGACTTTAGAACAAACCAGCCCTGAGAAGTATTTGTTACTCTGGTGTGTCCCTGAAAACAGATGTCTTAAAAAGCTTTTCATATTCTTAAAATAGCTTCACTTCTGTTAAGAAGAATCTATCGGTGAGCAATATATGCGAGTGTTGCCCTTGGCCCTGATGTCCTGACTAGAACAAAAAAGCTTATGCGTTTCGAAGGCGATAGTGACATTTTCAGAAGACTGGCGGCTTCAGTACTCCTGTCCCAATGTCGTGTGAGTGTGTTAGCAGCGTTGTCCTCAGCTATCCCCTCATCCTGGCTTCTACCTTCCGCATACTTTCTCTGAGCGAGGGCCTCCCCCCAGTTACCATCATGCTTAGAGAGGCAGTCTGTGTTAGTCAAGGTCAGGCATGTGGCAGTGTTTACCTGAGCACCGAGTAACCCAGACCACATACGTGACAACTTCCAGGCTCTGGAGCCATTTCTCAGCACTGAGGGGAGAAATAGGATGGCATGATCTGAATCATTTTGAGGATGTCAGGTTACCTGATTTTTGTTTTGGGATACAGCAGAAGGCAAAAGTCCCGTGTTGGGGTTATGATTTTAGAGACAACGAAGCATTTCAGGGGCCAGCTAAGTAATTTGTTTATTTACCTTGAGATAATATTGACTTTGAGTTGTATCCTCAGAGTTCAGATTTCTTAGTTGGAGGCCCAGTAACTTAATATGTAACAGGACTGCTCATCTGAACCACCTACTCTCCAGTGGGATTCTGAATAGAAGGTGTATTTTTGTTGCCATCTTGGTAGGAAGAGACAAAACAAAACAGCGAGGGGGGAGGAGAACAAAGCCTGCAGGTCAGGAGGCATACAAATTCACATTTTAACCACACCCAGAACTCCACATGTAGCTTTTTTCTTGTTAATTGTATTCCAACCCAGCAAAAGTTAGCCTGTCAGAGCACTTTGGAACTGTGGGTAATTCAGTGTTTATTTATCCCAAATCGTTGTGTAGGGTTGAACTGGAAAATTACCCTGAGGCGTAACTTAGCCAGATTTTGAGAGAGGGTATGGGAGATGACTCCAGAAATCAGATTTTGTGTGTGTGTGTGTGGGTGGGTGGGTGCGCGCGCAAGCACACGTGTGCATGTGTCTGATAACATTCAGCCTGGAGTTCTGTGATTTTAGAAATGTAAAAATAAAAAATCATTTTTTTAATTTGGAAGGACATTAATATATGAACTCTCAGAATTTGCTCGTTATCCCCTTCCCCATGCTGGTTTTGGGGTGCTCTGACTGTAAGAGAACCTTGTCCATCTGAGGCTCAACATGGCAGCTTCTAGAAGGGTACCGTCTTCCTCCCTCGCTGCCCCTTGTGTCTCTCCCCCACATGCCCATCACGGGGCCGAGGTAGAAGCCCTTTCCCACCCTCTGTGGGAGCTAGTAGGGCTCCAGTTCAGCACCTCAGGCACTCGTGGCACGCTGTGGCCAACATCTGGAATGGGCCTCACCATGTCACTCTAGCCTGCCAGTGCTTCTGAAGGACTCCTGTGTATACCCCGTTACAGCAGGAAGAATTAGAGCTTTTGAAGCAGACATCTATATTTGGTGTAATGTGCGAGATCCTGGGATCCAAATTTTAAACCTGTCCTCATTCTTACCTCACACTGGTTTAAAGTGTCAAAGCCTCTCCGAATTGTCCCGGCTGGATTTCCTATCGCTCTCAACTTCCTGAGCTGCTCTGTGCTGATCTCCCCTGCCTCCGGGTAGGGGGCAGTCTTCCCCAGCCGTCCATGAGCCCAGAAAGAACAAGGACCCTCCTCTCTCGAGGATGTTGGCTCGGGACTGACAGGTCACGCTGCTGGCACTGAAGCCCTCTCATTTCTTGCTAGTGGCGTGTTCGCTAAACTTCCTATAGGAAAGTTCCAGGTCATTATTTTTATGAGCTGTGTCCTTGATCAAATCCGTGCATCCTAAGGGTGTGTCTTTTTACCTGTGTCTCATTGCCCCGTGCTCCAAGCGGCATACTGGTGAGGGTCACATTATTTAATTGGCTTCACAAGCTCGGCTCTTTTATTCTCACAGCTTTAGAATTCGTTTCTTTTTTTTTTTTTTTTTAAGATTTTATTTACTTATTTGTCAGAGAGAGAGAGGGAGAGAGAGTGAGCACAGGCAGACAGAATGGCAGGCAGAGGCAGAGGGAGAAGCAGGCTCCCTGCCGAGCAAGGAGCCCGATGTGGGACTCGATCCCAGGACGCCGGGATCATGACCTGAGCCGAAGGCAGCTGCTTAACCAACTGAGCCACCCAGGCATCCCTAGAATTCATTTCTTAATGGCCTTTGTGGATCTGGGGTCACAATCTTGGGGCAAGGCAGCTCTGTCACAGTGCCGGTGCTGAAACACATGTTGGGAAGCTTCCAGAAGTCTGGAAGGTGTGGTTATTAGCAGAATAGGCAACAAGCTTCGGTTGAACCCTGTTAGTAGCTCCTGTTCATTTTGTTTTTTTGTTTTGTTTTGTTTTGTTTTGTTTTGTTTTAAAAATTTTATTTATTTACCTGACAGGCAGAGATCACAAGCAGGCAGAGAGGCAGGCAGAGAGAGAGAGGGAAGCAGGCCCCCCGCCGAGCAGAGAGCCCGACACGGGGCCCCATCCCAGGACCCCGGGACCACGGCCCCAGCCGAAAGCAGAGGCCCCAACCCACTGAGCCACCCAGGCGCCCCCCTCTTGTTTTATTTTTAACACTTTCTCAAAACACGGCTGTTGGTGAGCCTTTTAACTGCTCAGTGCCAATAGTCTCCCCACTGAGGAAGGAAAGTGTCAGAGACCTGTGCATATACTTGGAATACACTACAAATAGCTATCTCACACCACATGCTCCCCATGGTTTACCATTAGAATTGACTTAACCTCTCTTTCTGGCTCACGTTGATGGCTTCCTCTGCCTTTCCGATCTCACAGTATCACTTATGGGAGGAACTTCCCACCTTAGTGGTTGTGACTATAGTTCCGTCTCGGAGCCAGATGAAATAAGAAACTTTGCTGTTGGCAGGCACCGGTCGCCATTGACCTGGCATTTTCTGCCTTTGCTGAGAGCCAAGGAATGGAGGCCAAGGGGAAACGAAGTCTCAGCCTCAGTATCTTCCATAGCCGTTACTCGTTCCTGAGCCTGGTGAGTGGGTGGCGATATTTAAGGCTGAAAGAAAAGAACTCTCCTAAGTCAGCATGCATTTTCATTCCCACCTCAACCCATCCTGTAGCCACTGCAGTAAAAATACAAGGTTAATGGTCTGACATTTCACATCCTGCCTGGCTGAGGCCGTAGGCGCCTGCACGCCTGCTGGTATTTTGGGTTTTGCCTCGCAGTGAGCAGGCTAACGTGTGCTTCTCACTCCTGCATTCTGCTTCTAAGAATAGGATCTTTCAGCTGTCAAAGGCTGGTCGTTAGTCTTAAACCTTTTTAGCTCCTCGGCCAAATCCAGGGTCAACGGGTCAAAATTACAGACCGAAGAAGGTCAAGAGAAAAATACTGCTAGAGGCTGCCCTTTACACCAGCTCAGCCTTGCCAGAATTCTCTTCGGGTGTGAAGCCTTTAGCTCTGTTCTGTCACTTCAAGACTCCAACTTTTTCATTTTATCAAAAATGTCCTCCGTATCAGCGAGGCTTCCATAACTTATTTCAAAACTAGAATTGCTAGTCTTTGGAACTCTTCTAGTCCATTCTCCCTTTATTCCTAAAGCCAGTTCAAAACTCCCCTCCTCAGGACAACTCCCTGCTTGGCCTCACTTGCCAGCCTTCACTCAGATATGGCTCTGGAGTGCTCAGCCTTACTCTGTTTGCTCTGGTAGCTCAGGTTACACTGGAGCGACAATTGGGGGATGCCCTGACCCCGCTTCCCTTGGCCTGGAAGGCAGCCCAGCCTGGGACCTGGGCCTGGACTTTTATCTGCACGGCCTCCAGTGTCCTGTGCGACCTTGGGTGCCTTAGTTAACCTCTCTGAATTCCCGTTTCCTCTGGAGGAATTTCCAAGCTCCAGTGTTCCTTCATCCCTGCCCTATGGCCCATGGGAAGAGGATCGTGCAGAGTAATGGAACTTGGGCCTGAACAGGATGTTCAAGGTAGAGAGTGATTCCCAGCACTTCATTATCTCCCCTACTCCTACCTCTGTCCTTTTCTAGGTGAACTAGCACAAGACAGTTCTCCCCTTTGGGCTTCCTTTTGCCCACCGAAAAATGACTAGAACAAGGGCGAGGTAAATTCCCGTGCTGTGGGATTTAGACATTCATATCCAGGCGGCCATCCCCCTGGCCTCTGAGACCATGGACCGCCATGACTTCGACCTCTTTGCCAGTGAGAGTGTGTCTGACCACGTGGTTCTGCCAAGAATGAGAATGGTAACCTGCCATCTTCAGCCAGCCATTATACATTGGCTTGTATGAGAACGTCACCGTGGGGACCTCTGTGCTGACAGTCCTGCTCCAGACCTCACGTGAAACCTTGGGCCCTGCTCGCCTTGCCTTTGCTGTTTGCTGGTCTCTACCTCACCTCTGAGAGCCTTCATTTCTCATCTGCAAAATGGGCATGAGACCTCCCAAGGCTGCTGAATGTTGGATGTGAAAGCATCCCCTGGGCAGTCCCTATCCACGACCATGCCCCAGTCTCCCCCAGGTGCTTCCAGAGCTTCTAGTAGGAAGCAAGTTTTGTGGCCTCTCCGACCACCCTGCCAGGCCTGGTCTCCCCTGTTCCTGCCTTTGCCCAGGATCAGCCTGGTCTTCCCACCGCCTTTGCTGCATGAGAAGCTAAAGTTATAGCTGTCTGCTCAGGGACTGTGAAATTCCTTCTCCCTGGCCTTTTCCAGGATGTTATTAACATGCTTCATGGGGGGGGGGGGGGTCTGGAAATGGGTGGAAGGTCTCAAATAGACAAAGCTTAAATTTCGTCCCAGAGAAAGCTTTATGGATGCCCATGGTTAGAAAATGTTTCCTTTTGCCACAAGAAGGGATAAGGTGGTCCAGGTTCCTGTCCCTCACCCCCAAAGTGAGGTCCTGCCCGGTCTCTCTTCTGCCATGGTGAAAAGTGTTATCCGCCATGTTTAAAACC